ATGTAGATTGTTAAGACGTAGCAAGATTGATCAATTCCGGAGGGGTAAAAACAAAAGGAGCATGGGAGATGACGTCCAGAGAGCGGTAGGCTGGACGGGGTTGGGAAGCAGCAGTCAGTTAGTTAGTACGGAGAGTAGTCTACGGAGTACTACTAATCGTCAGTCTGGCCTGTCTTTGGGTTATGAGTGGGTCCGTGACCGTCTCGTGTGGTCGGCCTGAGGCGGTGTCTCCCTGGATACCTGAATGCCTGATGGCCTGGTAGCCTTAACTGCTATCATTCAACAGGTCTATTTTCATAACTAACTAATTGGTAAACCTACACACATGGATCTCGTGAGAAAGCTTTAAATGAATCAATCGATTGTTACCCACTTATTAGCCACTCCAAGTAGCCACTGACATCAGGATATCCAATGATTAAGGAACCCTCTACTTCCATAAACAGCAGTAGTCGATTTTAGTGCTATACTCAACGAACCGTAGCAGCTCCCCCGGCATCGGGCCCGCCCGATAGTATCAACGAAGTCTATTTACAACCACCGACGCATATATAGTCCCCCAAACACCCGCTCAATCCTGTCCGGCATCTTAGACACACTCAATTACTGAAGTTCAACATAAATTATGACGCAAATCGGTTGGGTACGTTATTATCAATGAAAGAGGGAGAATCTGTCAGCTCAAGAACTAACCCCCATGCCAATCAGTTTGGCCTCGGCTCTATGGGCCTCGCCATGGCCAGCAATCTCCAAAGGCATTTGGCCCGCAAGACAGGCCCGGGTCTCATATACTCCAACCGAACCATTTCTCGAGGTGACCCCCTCAAGAAATTAGGCGGTATACCCGCAGACAACTTCTCGAAGCTTGTCTCGCAATGTGGGATTATCTTCACCATGGTATGCGATCGCTCCTCTGGAAGATGCGCAACAGCATCATCAGGGCCCAAAAGGACATTAATATTAAATAAGTGATAGGTCTCCAATGACTCGGTCCTGCAAGAATTGGTAACCACAGCTATCAACTCCGGCCACCCCCTCAAAGACAAGATCTTTGTTGACTGCTCAACCGTTCTCCCCGAGACTGTGGGCACAGCAGTCTCGAAGCTGAAGGAGAAGGACGCGAAATTCCTATCTGCTCCTGTTTTCGGGGGCAACCCCATCGCTGTGGATGGGAAGCTGGTATTCGCCATCGGAGGGCCCAAACAGGCGGCAGAGGTGGTGAAGCCGTTCATCCAAGACGTGATGGGGAGAAAGGTGATTGATTGCGGAGAGGATGCTATGAAGTCTTCGCTTTTGAAGATCGCAGGGTATGTTGGTCCTGCCATCCCCAACTTATATTTGGTATAGGGGATGCATGTTCTTGCTAACGGGTGTATCTTGTTGTCAGAAACATCGTCACGGTGAATTTGATGGAGGCGGTTGGTGAAGCACAGGTCTTTGCTGAAAAGACGGGCTTGGGTACAGGGCCCATGGAGGATCTTATCGGAGAGGCTTTTGGAGGTGTGGCTGGGGGGTATTCTAAACGGTGAGTGTGCCATTTATGTTGGGTGTTGACTATCCATCTTTATAGTTAATCATGGCTGACACTGGTAGGTTGACGACTGGTGCCTATGCACCGCCATTGGACTCTCGCCCCGGCTTCGGGGTGTCTCTGGCCATCAAGGATGCAAAGCACGCGTTTTCCATGGCGAAGGAGCATAACGTGAAATTGCCGGGTTTGCAGGTTTCTCTTGATAACATGGAGGCTGCCAGAGAGTATGCGGGCGAATGCTTGGACAGCAGCTCCATGTACGGCTATCTGCGGCAGAAGGCGGGCCTGGAGTTTTGGAACGAAAAGAGCCGACAGGGAAACTCTCAATAGATTAGACTAGATATATGTGGCTACTCATGTTGATCTCTGTCTAGATGGGCGAAACCAGTAGTTACATTGTCCTATATAGTAATTGATATAACCCAAGATCTTCATCAGGCATTCAAATGGTCAGGGATGTGGAAGCCCTTCCAGACAGATACCTACTGTCGGACTGTCCTCCCGTCCGCAGTCTGTGACATGCAACTACGTGGTGGGCAGTTCGAAACCCCTCCATACAGCCCTCCATTAAGGCAGTTTCGGAGCTTAAGGGCCGTCCGGGATTTTGACCTTTTTTGGATTGTTCCCGTGATGCAAATGTTCGGGCAGGACCACTAGTTCTCAAAAGCATGCAAGGCCAGTAGAATAAGATTGATGGACTTTTGCCTGACAGCCTGACAACTCGAGCAAATCTCGAGATAGTTGTCAAATTTTGGCCAGCGTAAGTCATGGGCGACACGGTTTAGGTGGTACCGTACGAGACGGATGTGTCAGGAGAAGGAGACCACTGTAAGCAGTCCTAAGATTCAGCTCGACTTTTGTATGCTGTCTCGGCCAACGATATTGACCACCGTTAGTCAGCACCACTGGGGCACCAAGTACAGCGAGGTGTGACTGAAGAGGCGAAGTAGATAAACTCCAAAGTCGAAAACAGCTTGTCATGCCCAACGTCTAGGTCATGAAGATGCAGCATCTAACTTGATCGATGACAAGCGATGGCTGATAATCCGTCTGCATTAGTGTGAAGGGTTGATCCTTGTGGTTTCGACCAAGGAAGGATAGGCTTCCGCAAAAGCGGGCCCCAGCGACCAGTTACTGAGATTGCGGAAGTGTCTTTCAAAGACGGGATTGACCATAAGCTCGTCACCGTCACCGGAAGACAAAAGGCAGTCTGTCGCCTCATAGGGCCAATTCACAGATAGCGTACGTGTGAAGGGAATAAACCAATTCTCGAAGGGATAATCCTGGTACGACATCACCAGGCGATCTCGCATTCGCGGCCATGGCAGATAGTCAATCCAAGCCGGATGGGCCGTGAGAAGCTGCGACGGGCGAGGAGTGAGCCACTCGGGCAACCGGTCATAATTTTCTGGGGTCGGATAAATCTGCCACCGCATGAGGAGGAACATGAGAAACAGCACAGCCACTTGTTCGGGGAGGGTTGAGATATCTGGGAAGGTCCGCAAGATGTCGGTGAACACTTTCGACAAGGGATGCGAGTAAACGCTTTTCTCTGGATTGAGGAGGGAGGAGACGCTGGGGTAAGAAGGGCCGACTAGGCTCTGCTTTGAAACCCCCTTCGCTGCTTGGTGCTGTCGATTTTGAAGGAAATCCAACAGAATGGCGTCCAGCGTGCATGTCGGAGCGACGTTGCGAATCGGGGTCAGGTAGGCAGGCAGTGGCTGTTCCGCCATAGAAGGATGAACACCGGGTGGGTAGGTTGGCGATGGATTTGACGATGGCCTCAGTGTCTCTGATGAGCGTCGAAAGCCCTCCACTTTGGGGACCTGCTGCGATGCGTCAAGGAGGAAGTTAAAGCCCATTCGTTCATCAGTCCCGCCAAAGTCCAAACCGTGAGCCAAGTTGTGTCGCTGGTAGTCGAACGCAATGCGGAAAGAGGCGGGGCCTGTCGCTGTTATCTCACGGCGTGCCGTACCGGACGCAAAAGCCGCATGTGCGGTGGAAGAAGATGTCTCGGGATCCATAGCAGACCCTGCAAACGGATGCTCGCCAGGGGCTGACCTCTGGGTATTGGCTGAGAAACGGAAGGCATCGGACAACGGCGGCGTCGATGTTATTGGGGGGATTCGATTGTTGGTTGACGAAGGCGTCGCGGTCAAAGTATCTGGAAGAATAAACTGTTAATGCAACTGTTTCCCCGACAGTCTACGTAGTTGTTATGGGAACATACTCGGCTTCTCTTGTTGCCCCAACAAAGGCTGAATTATATCCACGATCGCTTTCAGTCCATGTCTGATCTCCCGATTCTCTGCTTGGATGACTTCATTTTGCCTCAAAGCCGCCTGAAGATCCAAGAAGGGCTTCTGCGACGAAAGATCTCGGACTCGTTGTTCCAGAGAATCGATATGAGCTTTCGTCCTTTCGCGAATGGCGCGCTGGGCCTGCCGGTCGTTCGCCCGCTTCTTCGCCAACTGCTCAGGGGTAAGATTCGCTACACCGCGCGCTGATGTACAGTTAAGCTTGCGTTTGCGACCTGCGCCTGTTGCCGGTGTTCCATTGTTATCCGGTGCGGGTGTTTCTGCGTCCGCGGAGGTCAATGCGGATGGTGTGGGGGAGTCCTCCAGTTTTACCACGTCGGACCCGGGAGTGGCGACCGGGGCGGCAGTGGATGGGCCTTGAATTGTAGAGGGTGTAACAGCAGCAGCCGCAGCGGACGAGGAGAAAGAGGTGGAGGGAATTGAGGAGGATTCCGGATTCGCTGAAGCAGCGAGATCGGTTAGAGGAGGAAGGCGGGTGGCCATGGCCTCACTCGCAGGCTACTACGGGAACGCAGCGGCCATGCAACACGACGGGTAAGGAGCACAGGCAAAGCGGATCAGAATCCCAGACAATTTCAGTAGATCTGGGGTTCACTGGAGGATGGTCAGGGTGGCATCGAGAAAGAAAGACAGGGGCGATAAAAATAAAAGGAGCAGCCGATCCGGACGAGTAAGGACTGACACCAGGACCGGCGAGTCATTTGAGAGGGAGCAAGAGGAGAAAAATAGGGAAATGATCATTGGGGAAAGGCAGCCTTCAGCAACTTTCTCTGGTCGGAGGAGAACAATCAGTCTGGTTGGCTGCGGTGGAGTTGCCCCAAAGTCAATAATCGGCACCACGTTTTGCCTTTTTTATGTTTTACCCTGACGGCACAAGCAGACAAGAGACAAGATTCTTGCAGAAATGCCAGGCCACGGCCGAACCGGAGTGTCCTAAGTCATTTGCGGTGCTCTAAACTTCCATAGTTGTGGCGTTGCTCCGCTTTCTGTCCCGCGCACCCCGAAAGAGACAGCAAAAAAAGTCCCTCGCCAAGGGTTCTGGATCCTAGAGCTATAGCACTAGATACTAACTCCCTTCGCCATAAATCGGTGAATCGGTGGATCTAAAAGCTACGGAGCAATTGTCTCGGGTTGTCGGCACACGATTTCATGACAGCTCATTCTCAATTGGTTTATCCTTTCACTTTGGGCGTCATTCAGATGGTATCAAAAGTCAAAGCTTGTTCCGGTATCCACAATCCTGGTGATGCCTAACCAGACCAGTTGCACCAGATTGGTAAAACAAAAAGAACGCAGACAGATATCACTCCGTCCAAAATAGAAATGGAAACAAATAACAGAGGTACAGGTGTACCGAGGGACAATGATAAACTCTTGGATCATAAAATCAGTTCATAACTGTACAGCATTACCGAGACCCAACCCGAGGCCTCATATAATACACCCATTCGACAAACGGCTATATAGTGGGTGAAACAGACAAGTGAGGGAATGCAACCAAAAAGAAAAGCAAAAAAAAGAAAAAAAGAAAAGAAAAGAAAGAAAGAAAGAAAAGAAAAGAAAAGAAAAGAAAAAGAAAATACGTGAAATGACTCTAGCGAGTTTATTCAATCATGTGTCCCATTTTCGCGATCTATTTGGATCCAAGAAAGTTAGCATCCCTGGCCGGAGCAAAATAACAAAAGTACCACAACCGAGGCAGAGAAGAGAGAGAGAAAAAAAAAAGCAACAACCAGTCTCGGAAAACCAGTTGAAGAGTGACATGGTGAAACAAGCAAAACTTACCTTTGTCCTGAGATAGCCCTCTACTTCTAGACTTTTGATGCCCTGCTTTCCCCCCGACCTCCATGCCAAAGGTATCATTGGCACACGCTCCTTAACCGCCACCTCACGATTTGCACCCTCAATGGCGCGAACCTTGTCCGGGTTATTCGTAAGAAGTCGGATGCCGTGAGGATTGGCATCCACACCCAACCCAAGGTCGACTAGGATCGCGGTAGCCAGACCGTAGCTTCTCGCGTCAGCAGGGTGTCGCAAGAGAAGGTTAGCCTCTACAGTGTCGGAGCCAAGATCCTGCAAGTTGTAGGCCTTGAGCTTCTCCCCCAGTCCTATTCCGCGACCCTCTTGCCGCAGGTAAACAATCACACCGCCAGAGGCATTGGAAGGCACCGGAACAGCTTGCTGGGAAGCCATTTCACTCAGAGTCTCCATGGGGAAGGACATCAGCCTGGCTGCTTCGTCTAGTTGTTCACCACAATCACAGCGCGCAGACCAGGCGGTCTCCCCGGTATAGCATTCGGAGTGTATCCTCACCAGTGGCGCTTGACTAGGTGAACCCTCTGTCGCAGTTGACCTTCCTGATGATACAGGTCCACCGTCAGCAGCTGCATTGCTGCCTTGCCCACCAGCTGCACCCTCAGCGTTTCCATCATCATACCAACTGCTCACACGACCGGGATGCAATGTGCCCACATAAGCTCCACGTATCATACGGTCCATTTCCGTTTCCCCTGGCCGAACCTTGTCCAGGCTCCGACTTCGAATAGTGTTTCCAAACACAATTGCCAAGTGCTCTTTGTTGTCCAAGTTGTTGTGATAGAGATGGAGAAACATCTCCGCGCCGGTGGTGGTGGGAATCCGTGCGCGAACGATGCATTCGACTTCGGGAAGGCAAGGAAGAAGTTTCGGAGCTTTAGTGTGTGATAACTGTTGAGTCTGTTGAAGCAATTTCGCTGGATTGAATGTACCACCGGGGGTAGCTGGAGGGGTAAAGGAAGGGGAGAGGAGTGAGGCAGGCACGGCGGGGGTTACATCACCCCGATCGCTATCTGCGCTGTCGGACTGGGCGATAGCATTGTCACGAAGCTCGTCTACTCTGCTATCTGAGGGCAGAATTGCTGCTTGATCTGTGCTAATGGAGAGTTCTTCCACAGGGTGGGAAGGCGCATCTTGCGCCACGAAGGTTGGGGAGGCGTGAGAAGGTAGGTTCGACATGATGGCCGCGGATAACAACGCGCAGATAGATTGAAAGGTAAAGGGAGCGAAAGTCGTATGGCGAAGAAGTTGCGGAAGACCCTGACAATAGGTGGTGGACAAGAAATTATACCAGTGAGACGGCGAAAAAGGAGGACATGATCATAGGAAGTAGTTGTAAAGTATCACCATTGCCGTGGGATGACCATGGGCCAGTTATCCCGCACTTGCTCTGTTTCGGCGCCGCATGTGGTTTCGGACCCTCGGGATCAACTGCGGCTTCGGCGGGGGGGGGGGTTTACTCGCTGACTCACCCACCCATTTGTCAGGCCTGACACGCCTTATGTAATTCTTACTGCAGAGGAAGCTTCTGGACCGGTTCACTATCTAGTTGGTTAGTTCTGTCAAAACTAAGTACCTAATGGATACTAGGTGAATATAGGAATAATACGACAAACAATAACACTAGCAAATAGGTTGAGACCCCCATCTATGCAAGAAATTCAAAGTAAATGACACACGATAACTAGGTAACTATTACTATACCTCTCCAACATAACCAGCCAAATTGTGGCGATCATCCCACTCATCAAAGCAAACCTAACTCCGTAAATCCCGCCTCACCCGCCAAATTGAAACATTCCAGCTCAATGAATGGGTATCAAAATATAGTGCAACCGACCATGGTGCAAATCTCTTCTTCGTTTTGCCCCTGTTTCCTTGTCAATCCTTTCTTATCACTCCGTCTCTTGTGCCTTGCCCCTGTCTTGTTCGCCTGCCCACTTGGGGGCAGTTTCATACTTTTACTGGCGCTGTCACTTGAGGGGAAGACAGCGCTCCGTAGATCTCTCGTAGTGTAACATTGACATCCCAGGACTAGTTCTACTTCCCAGGTATATCGAGTACAAAGCGTCGATCTACCTCCATCTCTTTATCATCTTCTTCGCCCTCAAACTTCAGGCGGTAGACATCCTTCTTGGAACCCATGACTTCCGCACGATAGAACGTGGTCGTATCTGGATATCTCGCCAAAACTTGCTTCCCTACTGAGAATGAGGGCAAGGCTGACCCCATCTGGGGAATGGGAATCAGAGACGCGGCAGTGGTTTTGTAAACAGCTCCCTGTTCACCATTCTCGTTTGGCTCCGGGTCCTGCACGTCATACCTTGAAAGATACATCGGTCAATGATCCTGTGGAAGTGGACTGGGGCGTCACGCCGTACCGTTTTTTCACTCCATCCCCAGAGATCCCCTTGATAATGCATTGAATGCCCTCGCCTTCGACCCCTTGTTTGTTCTTGTTGTGTTTGAAGACAACCTCCGCCCCAACCACCAGGTGTCCGCTGCGCTCTGCAAGGGTACCTTTGGTACCCTCTGTGCCTTCTTCTACTTTAACATACACACCGCTGTCGCGGATGTCTCGGCTATCACGGACCTGAGTGCTGGAAACACTGGTACTACGCTGAACGCCGCCTTTCGTGCGACCGACCTTGTCTGGCAAGGCAGTAGTGGAGGGCCCAGGCGAGTCAGTTGCTGACCCATCCAGTTCATTGCGTTTCTTCCGCGACTTAGAGAAGGTAGCAGCGCGATTTTGAGGGGCCTCCGCTTCGGAGGCCTGTCGAAGTGCGGTCAGGAGACCCAAGTTCTTGATAACATCGCTAGGCTCATCCTGGAGAATGGCTCTCTCGTCGTCGCACAGCTTTGACATCTGTCGATAGAGACTATCGAGCTGATCATGCTCGCTGAGAGAAGGTCCTGTTTCGGCGGTCAGCATTCATGATCTCCACGGCAAGTAAAAGCCATCAAACAGACAAGGCAAAAGAAGGACATGATGGCAAAAAGCAAGATTAAGGCCAACCGCTTGGAATAGTAGCCCGACAGTCAGGACATGATAATTAGAAGGCCTCGTGCAAAGTGTAGAACGGAACGAAGCAACAAAAAGCCCCAGTGTCACAACACATTCAGCGATTCGGGCCATGTTCTATTCTTTGCAGGGCATGCAGTATGTGGATAGGGCTGATTAGAAATGAAGATTTATATAAGACTTACTTCCACCCTCTTTACCGATCTTCTCGTTCAAGGCGGCGATCTGGTCTGCCAGCGTCTTCTGCTTGTCATTCTTCTCCTTCGCTTTGCGAAGGTCCTGGAGGATCTTGTTCCACATGTCAGTCTCTTCATTGGCCGCCAGTCCGTTGTCCCTGGGGACTGGAGGACCTCTTGGCCGATTCCGGGACATTTTCTTGGATTTCTTGGAAGGTGAGCTCTGGTCCCTAGCTGTAGCAGCAGTCGTAGTAGCCCTTAGTTGACTATTCCTGGTTTTAGCCGAGGTTGCAACGGGGGCGGAGTCTCTCGATTTCTCGATGGCTAGAGCCTCCCATTCGAAGGCGGAAAGGATATCCTGCCGGGCAGAGCTTCGAGTACCGCGGGCAGCACCTTGTCTGAGGTTGTGGGGACGAACAGGAGAGGCACTCTGAGGCTTTGCAGAAAACGGATTGTCCGGGGTGGAAAACCTGTTGGGCCCAACTGATTGGGACGGAGGAGACACGGGAACCTGAGCTTCAGGGACCCCGTCATGCTGAGCATCCGACTGCGAAGCTGTTCCTTGGGCGGAGAGCTTCCCTTCGCGGCTAGTCGGTAAGCGCTTTGCGCCCCATGGGACTCTTTGATTGGCAGATCCCATTCCGGTTCACGTAACGGATGCGGAACACCCAATCGGGAATGGAGTAGTAATATTGAACGGAATATTAATTTAATGGTCGATAAACGAGTTGGGCGGGATGGAGGGGCTCACCCTCTAAGACATCTTCTGGGGGAACGGAAGCAAGAATTATTTCGGTCGCTCATAAGGATTCAAAAACCCCCAGTGTCGTGTCTGAATTTTGACTTTCTTTTCTTTTCTGCTCTGTTGTGATAGAGAGAAAGTTCAAGTTAGCGAGTGAATTTACTGAGTACTAGTATTCCAATTGGTAAATGCCGTTGTTCCTCTTTCCCCCCCGCCATTCACTCACTAGTTCGTTCGCTCTTTCCTTCTGTCTATCCTCCTCCTTCCCCTTCCCACCAATACAATACTTATCATACTAGTTCCCTCAGCACTATGCAGGTACCGTTGCTCCGTCTTCAGTGTGGTGAGTATTCATCCTATCGAGCTTTCTACCCGAGAGAAAAGAGAATAATCTCACTGATAGTCTATTTTCTTTATCCACAGGTGTCAACAGCTATGACTGGGGTAGGACATCCCCGCATCCTAGATTGTTCCGCCCGCTGCGTTTGCTGAAGCTGGTCTAGGCAAGATTGGCCATGAGTCGGCTGCCGCAAAGTATGCCGCCATTACTGCAGGCTCCGATTTCTCCATAGAAGCAGAGAAGCCCTACGCAGAGGTTTGCTTCTCGAATTCTCAATGTTCTCAAGCCGGTAAACTGACCCGGTGACGTATAGTTGTGGATGGGCACCCATCCTTCCCTTCCCTCCAAAGATGTCGAAACCCAGCGAACCCTCCTCGATATGGTTCAAGATAACCAAGCATTGATCTCCCAGGAAGTGAGCGAGCGATATGGAGGGAAATTGCCTTTCCTTTTCAAGGTCCTTTCTATTCAAAAGGCTCTCAGTATTCAAGCCCATCCAAATAAGAAACTGGCCGAAAAGCTTCATGCCCGGGATGCCCGAAACTATCCAGGTAACCCCTATATTCTTCTCTGACGCCAAACGCAACTCTGATCACCGTTATGCTATATAGATGATAATCACAAACCCGAAATGACGATTGCGATCACCCCGTTTGAAGGACTGTGCGGCTTCCGACCGCTGGCCGAAATCGTTCACTTCCTTAACGCAGTCGCCCCTCTCCGCGAGCTAGTCGGCACGCAAGCAGCGAATGAATTCGAGAGTGTTGTCAAGGGCTCCGAAGATTCGCAAGATTCTGCCCAAATGGCGAAGAACAAGGACGCGCTACGTGCCCTATTCACATCGCTAATGAATTCATCACCGGAAAGCATTGAGGCAGCCACCCAGAAGCTGATCTCCGCGGCTCAGGATTCTCCTGATACATTTGCTACTTCTACCAGCACTCCAGAGACGAATCCGAGCAACCCTGGCGAATTGGCTGCCATCATCGCTCGGCTTAACGGGCAATTCCCTAACGACATCGGGCTATTCGTATTCTTCTTCCTAAATTTTGTTAAGCTGGCACCGGGCGAAGCCATGTTCTTGAAGGCTGACGATATCCATGCATACATCTCTGGAGATATCATTGAATGCATGGCGTCGTCTGATAATGTTGTGCGGGCGGGCTTCACTCCCAAATTCAAAGATGTTGATACACTCACCGAGATGCTGACATACTCCTATGCGCCAATTGAGGAGCAAAAACTGGAGCCCACCGATTATCCATATGCCGTTCTCAACGCATCCGCCTATTCTAGTGGCTCATCGTCTGTTCTCTACGACCCGCCCATTGAAGAATTTAGTGTTGTCAAAACGGATCTGAAGAGGGCTGGAGCCAAAGCAACCTTCGACGCACTGGTGGGTCCCAGCATCCTGATATGCACGGGTGGAAATGGGAAGATCACGGTTGGCCACAAGACTGAGGAAGTGAAGGAAGGCTATGTGTTCTTTGTAGGAGCCAACGCCGAGTGTATCGTCGAGAGTACGGGCAGTGGAGAGGAGAATGTGTTCACCACATATAAGGCATTCTGTGATCTGACGGGCAAGGAGGATATGGTGAACGGAAACTAGAATGCATCTATATCTAAGCCATAATGCATAAAGGGGGAATATAACATACTTCTGAATTAGTAGTTCCGAGCCGAGGTCATCTCTCCAGCTGCGGGGGAGGGGGGGCTGAAGCATAGTGGAAGAGCTATTCCATTCTGCCTATCGGTGCATATGCAATCCACCTGCCCCTTGCTCTGGACAGTCAATCAATTGCCCGATATACTAGATTTGTCTACCACTTTCAGCCGGACCACCTAGAAAGCGGGGGTATCGACCCTCATTATTTCAACCTTCAAGTCCTCTCCACATCCTCTCCCCTCCCATAACCACCTTTTCGCACCATGTCGTCCTGGAACCAGCCTCTAACCATCTGGCAGAAGGTGCAGGAGGCATGGAACAGTCTAATTGTCATGAAGACCTTCCTTTCTGTCTCCGTTACAGCTGCCTTTCGAGGCAAGAATGGCGCCAAGCAGTACAACGTCCATGTGCTCAACGCCGTGACGCGCAAACTTTGTGTCACCTTCACCCCGAGACAATTGCAGTGCGTTTTAGTCCTCCCTACGACTGGGCGTTGCCTGCTAACTGCCATCTTAGGCTCCGGGATACCCCCACCGAGGAGGCATACAGACAGTTCATGGCCAGCCGAGGTCTCCAGCCGCAGACTGTGCCTCTTAATCACGGCGCTAAAGGCCACTGGATTGGCAACAAAAACGCCAAAAATATCCTCGTCTATTATCACGGTGAGTGATAGGCGTCTTCTCTTTTCATTCCTAGTTCCAAGGTTATTCTCCAATTGTACCCATACTAACCCAGCTACCTAGGAGGTGGGTTCTTTCTCTTTGGTCGCCCACAACATTACCAGCTACTAGCACATATGCTCGACCGCCTGAACGAAGCTGGCCACGACAACCTTGCTATCTTTTTCCTCACCTACACTACTACGCCGCACGCTGTTTATCCGGTACAACTCCGTCAATCGGTCGAGGCTCTCCGTTACATTCTCAACGAGACAGGCCGTTCCCCAGCTAATATCTTCTTGGGTGGTGATTCCGCTGGTGGGAATCTCTCTATCGCTGTGCTCTTGCATCTCACCCATCCACACCCAGAGATCGAGCCTCTGAAGATCTCCCAGCCCTTGGCAGGTGTAATTGGCTGCGCGCCGTGGGTCAGTTACAAGTTGGACGGCCCTAGTGTCCAGGAAAACGCATACAAGGATGGCCTCTCTAAAGAGATCCTCGACCGTTGGTCTGATCAGTACCTTTCGGGTAAAGAGGGTGATCCCTGGAGTGAACCAGCTAAAGCTCCCATGGATTGGTGGGAGGAAATACAAGCAAAAGATATCTTGATGACTGCTGGAAGAGATGAGATTCTGCTCTCGTCTATTGACGAGTTTGTGGAGAGGTTCAAGGTTCGTTCGTCACATCTTTTCCCCCTGTTGGCTGTTTCCACGTTCCATTCCTGCTTCATTTCTTTCCCGCATTCCAAGTTATAGTGCACAGCTGATACTTGTCGCGTTAAACAGAAAGTCGTACCCAATACTGTTTACGTTGTGGCACAGGATGAAACCCATGACTCGGCTGTCTATGCTGCAGATGTAGTCGGGTATGATACTCAGCAGACTCAGGCGATCGTTAACTGGTTAGGTGCTCGACTGTAAGATCGATTAGTAGTGTTAGTTGTCTGGTAGGTGTTACTTGTACAATGGGGATTGAAGTGTCCCATTGCTGGCCCGTCCCCTTCTCTTGCTTTCGGTCGCTTTCCCTGTGGTGGTTCAGGTAACAAGTCTATAATCCTTGGCTCAAATAGGCGACATTGCACCACATGACATACACGTAATGAAAATTATCAGCCTGTAACTTTAGTTACCCACTTATATGACAATACACGGGAAAAGGGCAAGTACAGAATAGACAGGTAAAGTAGGATAAGGAAGGAAGCATTCGCTGGACAATAACTAGATTACACATAGCTACGCCGTCGTATCAATTCATAATCGGAAACAATCACGCCCAGGGAGCAAGAAGAGGGGGTACAAGATGGAGATCAAGAAATAGAAAAAACAATGCAAGTAGCACACAAGTAAGCAACGGATATCCTAAATTAAGCCGACACTCTGGGAGAGTATTTCGCAGCCGCGGTATCAAACAATTCACTCTTTGCTTGAAGGTCGGACAGCAGGGGATGCGTGGGATTGATCTGTTCGAGGCGCCTAGAGTAAGTGCAACGCATGAGTTAGCTACACATTCATTCAAGGATCAATCACGAGGGGTATAGGGAATAAACGTACTGCTCCAACTCCTCCGAGGGCTTGCCAGCCAAGACGTTCAGCACAACAGAGTTAGCGATCAATTCCGCCTCGTCGGGGTGCTGCTGCAGAGCCGCAGTCAAGGCGGCCTCGGCCTCAGGCAACCGACCGAGATGGAGTTCAGCTACGGCTTGACCAACGATAGAAAGGGGCGCGGAGGTGCTAGGAGCGGAAGCCAATTCCTCGTAGACGTAGAATGCAGCCTGGTATTTCTCGCCGCCCTAAAAGCAGAAGCACAAAGCGAATTAGTTTTCATCGCTTAACCTCAACCAACAAAAAAGCAGAGCAAATAGCAGCATGCGCTGCATCCGGGTAAACCACATACAACTCTCATTCCAACCCACGATTCAGCCAAGTTGACCAGAAGGGAATCCTGCGCCCAGCGCTTCGCAGCCTGAACCTCCTTCAAGGCGAGATCAGAGCGGTTCTGCTGAAGATGAATCTGAACGATCAAGGCCACACTGAATCATCGTCCATTAGCTTCCCACTTCCATCCATCCATCATACATGTCCGGGCTGAAGGCTGAAACTCACGCCTCGAGGCTCCCCTGATGCTTGGTCAACAGAGCCAACGCATCCTCACTTTGTCCCTGAGCCTGCAGCAACGTCCCGCACAGAACCTGTACAGTAGCATTGTCGGGGTAATTGTCCGCGAGGTCCTGGGCCAGATTCAATGCCGATTCAGCATCTCCGGTCGACTGCTGAGCCAGCGCTTTCACGGCCGCTAGATCGGGGGTCTCTTCCTCGCCTTCGACATCGGCGAGAACTTCGTCTGTTTGGCCTAGGGCGATCTTGGCGCGAAGCTGGAGGACACGGGCGGGGAGTTGGTTCTCGGGGGATAGAGCGGAAGTGTCGAATTCGATTACAGCTTGGTATTGGCCTTGGTGGAAGGCATTGTGGATGTTGATCAGCTCTGTTATGGGGGCGAATATGAGGCATGTTAGTTAGTGCTTGAGGTCATGGGGGAAACTTGTGTATTTCTGATCGCTCAATAGACGAAACGTACCACCCTCAGCAGAGAAAGGATCCATTGCGGCGGTTAGAAGGAGAAATTGAGGAGGAGGATTGAATCAAAGAGTAATGAATGGTTTGGGGGAGTATAGTTAGGCTTGGAATGGCCATCCGCGGAGGCGGAAGTCGTCACGTTGCCTTTCCCGCGGGCGGTGGGAGGCGGGTGGCCGCCCACATTGGGGCAGGTTGGCCGATTATGTGGGAGCCCTATACCTGAAGTCATGACGCCTCTACTGTTAAAGGTACTGAATCTCATGCATACTAACTACGAGAAGGAATAGTTGAAAAGGATATAAACCAAGCTTGGGTAAAGGCCCGAAATCGAAGCAAAGCGTCCCAGCCGCAATTTCATATTAACACACAGAAGTACAAAATGTAAACAACAGACCTGTCATGGGCTAGGATCTCTTCCGGATACTCTAGCGACAGTGGACCAAACCATGATAGCCAGCTTCCTCAAGAGGCCTCAAACCTCGCTTCATAATGCATTGATCCCCCGCCAGTGATGCCGAATGATGCAACCGTTTCCTCGGTGACTCCCTCTTCCCTTAATATGCGACCCCGATGCAACGACAATTGATATCTGAAATGACACATCGGATCCAAAGAAAAACCCCGAGACAGATGCTGAGTAAAATGGATTTGCAAACAAAACAGTAGTGAGAATGGAAAACGGGTCTGCAATGATAGTCACACAGCCATGCAACGCATAAGAGCAACACAAAAACGTCCAGATTAAAAGGGTATCGCGGATAAATCAAGGCACTCCAGTGCCAACAAAGACATACAGGCACGCACACACACAAGAGCTAGAACACAAGTAGTAAATAACACCATGAACCCGCCTTCTCAGGACTCGGAATCGTCCCATGCGTCGCCCCAGATAGATAACAAAAGGTAAAGTCCGAAGATATGAGATCATGCTTTCCATGTGAGCCCGCCTGTGGCTTCCGTTTTGCGACCGTGATGCGCCTCAGGCTCCCATAAGAAACCAGGAAAGGACCAAAAAAAACAAAAAAGAAAATGCAGAAGAATGCAGCCAAAGCTGTCAAAACGCCAATCCCATACTTGCACATGAATGGTAAGATAATATCACAGCGTGATAGCGAAAGGAGATGTAGATGAACCCAATGGGTACAGCGGAGAATAGAACGAGTGGCAATGACTTCACACTGTGCCTAAGTCCCGTTGGATGGATGCTAAGGGGGCAGCGAAGACGTAGATGCCGCTGACACTGTCGGCGTCAAAGTAGGGGATGTTGGAGAATGGTTGTCCTCTGAGCTAATCGGGATCTCACTACCCTTATCGGAGAAAGCCTCCTTCTCCCGTTCAGTGGATGACGAGCGCTTGAACACGGTTTGACCGATTTGGCGGAGAATACCCAATCGCTCAGCGCGGAGTTCCTCAGTATCGGGTCGGTCAATGGAGGCGGGAGTGATGCCATCTTTGGTAATCTTGCAAAACAGGGTTGAAAAGAGATATTGGTCGCCGCCTGCATCATACAAAGGCAGATAGCGGTAGCCTTGAGAAAGGCTGGTGAGTTTGGCAGTAAAGGTAGCCAACTGAAGACTGCTGTTGTTTCCTGCACTGCGGCCATCCAGCGAGCTCCAGACCGTCCAGCGGACAAACACGAGGTCCGGATACTTCGTTTCCAGCGCAAACTTGAAGCAATCATTGAAGATGGGGCTATACCCATTGCTCTGCTCGATTTTTGTGCGCCGACGGTGCGGATAGCCAATACCTGACACGCCACTCCGCGCCGAAGCGTTTAGACCACCTTCCCCAATGACAAAACTTTGGCCTCGATCATCGGCACTGAATATCTCAACCTCTACGTACGGGTTGATATTATCGTCCGGTCCAAGGCTGCGAGGCCGCGGTAGTTGCTGGGCAGAGATGACTTCGATAGTAAAGTTAACGCGTTTCCGCCCCGTGCTCTTCCATTTATCTTCGCCAGGAGTCACTGTGCGAAGAGACTCGGGCTTGAGTACGTAGCCTGTGCGATCAGTTCCGGCGGCAAACATGGCTTGGTTCAACTGCATTCCAACATCGTAGGTTTGCCAGTTCAAAGCGGCCATCTGCACTCCGCGACGCCAAAATTTGAGGGGATCGAAGTTCGAGGACCTCAGACGGAAGCCAGACGGATAGACCCTTGTCAAATACTTTCGGTTATGCTTCTCGAAGACCGCTTTGCTATCTGAATCACGGCAGATACTTTCGAAGGAACGCTCTGCGAACGAATACACGTGGTTATACCGCTGGCTTTCCGCAGACGTGAAGCTATGCCATTTGTAGCCCCGAGTATATACTCCCAAGTCCGATAATGGCTTGGTGATCTTGCTCTTCTGGCGTCGTTTCCGTTCCCTTTTCATGGACGTCAATGCGCCATCACTGTCTTCCGTGGCGCTGCTTAAGCTGGTGGTCGTGAATGATCGTCTGTCCTGGGAAAGGAAAGTATCGACACTATCCTGGCCAGCCGTGGAAGACCCAGCAAGAGGAACAAGGTTGGAAACTGGAGGGTACTCGGGCACTGTCGGTTGCATAAATGGGGAGCTTGAGCTGCGCTTTCGACCGACACTAATCAAGGAACCCGACGATTCTTGTCGCATACCACCCTCTGTTTCATCGCAAGTTTTGACTTTCACAAGGATGCGACGCTTCAATTCCTCGGGCGATGGAAGGACGAAGGTATTTGTGAGAAGGGGCTCCAAGACTAGTTGGTCTTTAAAGGTCTCCTTCATGATTTTCACCATGGCTAGTTGTTGCTCGGGATTGCAGTGAACTTCGAGAGAGAGGATAAGGGGAAAGTCTGTACTGATGAATGCGTATCGGTTGATGACAGTAATGCAATCGGCGAACAGGACGCTGGTGGTCATGGTCCTTCCGTGGGAGACAATGGGTCGGCCATCAGCTCCGTCCCAGCAGTCGATTTCCACACAACGACACCCTTGGGACAGAGCGCTGATATATGCCTCAGTGCTGGATGCACCAGCAACCTGGCGACCCAGGAGATACGTATTGTGAGAGCTGGAGATGAAGTATTCGTTCAATGGGCGATCAAACCTGGACTGGGGGGCGCGGGAGGCGTAGACCCCATTCCAGGAAGAAGATAGAAATGAGGTGAAGGCATCAAGGCCCAGACGCGGAACCCCAGTAGGTCTTCCGTCCGAGTGCTCTGGAAGACTGGGTGCACGGGGTCTCGATTTGCGCACAAGCCGATCAAAGATAGACACCCAGTAGCTTCGGTCAGATTCGACATCTTCATTCTGCACATCACGAAGAAATGCCAGGAATTCATCCAAAGTAAAGCCTTCAAAAGTGACAGCGCGCTCTTTGAAGATAGCTTTAACATCTTTCCGCTCCTTCAAACGAGCAACAAAGTCACTGAACTCGGAAAAAATTAATTTGCCCTTGTTGTTATTGTCCGCCTTGGAGAATTGAGCACGGAGCATATTTTTGGAGCAGTTGATGTGCAAGCTGCGGCATACACTCTCAACCGCCTCAAAATCCAGGCTCTCGAGTTCGTCGGGCTTTAAACCCTTTGGATATAGTCTGGACATCTCACGCTGCCAGTGGGCTTTCAAGACCGCTTCGCTCTGGCCAGAACCAGCTAGGCCAGCCATAAGGCCAATTCTATAGCGTGAAATGTGTTCGAGGGTTGTCGTAAAGAGTTCAAAGGTATGATCACTAGGCGCAATCAGGTGCAGAGTCTTGACAGCCCGTCCCTTCAATCGTTCTGCATCGGCGATGACAATGGTGAACCATCTGCTTTCAAGATCCTGTGAAACCTGATGTTCCTCACGATAATTGCGAGCATCGACACCCACTCGGACCTCCTTGATGTCATCTATATAAAACCGTTTCGTCGGGTTCGAAATATCCCAGTAAACTTTCCCAGCGTCGATGTCGAAAAAAAAGCGCACTTGCTTTCGTCGTTTCTTGGTGACTTTTGTGAGGACTGTGCCACGCTGAATCATCGCATCAACCTTCGGTGCGACTGCACTAACGATGCGAGTAGGAGGAATGAAACTCTCATTCTGCAAGCTAGAAGCCTCAGAGCCACACCAGACCCCAAGTGAGTCCAGAGCATCGTTGCTGTCTTCTTCATTACTGGACTCAAGCGCACTTTCCCAGCTGTTTTGTCCAGTCTTGCTGTCGCTCCGTCTGCGCATGATAACGGGACCGGAGCTACGGTCCCGCTTATCATTCTGCGTCGCGGATTGCCGCCTCCGAGTGAGCTTGTTGGCTGCCCCTCGAGAGATTCTGCGCATCAACCCCGGGCCTTTGTTTGTCGTTTGGGTTGCCGCGTCTCCTGAGCCGGAAGCACTAGCATTCCCAGGAACAGCCATCATTGAATCTCCAAGCTCTAGATGGGCTGGGGGGATCAGAGGGAATGAGGGTATTCGACCACGGAGCGCGTCAGTAGCTGATTGCAGAGGGGTGCCTGAAGGGCTCGAAGCATTTGAGAAGGTATGCGAAGGACGTAATGAGTTAGGTGTAAATGAGTATATGGAGGCACAGGGCGGAGCGGAGGAGGGATTGGGGGCGGGGGGAACAGATGTGTTGACATTATGTAGTTTTGGAGGTTTCGGGAGTGAGCCAGTGACTTTTAAACTTGCTTGGGTGTCGCCATTTATGGTTGAAGGCGACGAAGCGGCGGCGTAAGCCATTGCGGATACCTGCCAGACGTAACACCCGGCTGCAAAACGTGATACTGTAGACCTGTCGTGAACCGTGCCAAAGCTGGAGTCACCTGGACTCTTCAGGGGACGAATGAACAGCGACGTGCAGTAACTAGGCGGCTGTGATGACCCTGATATGGTGGCCTATAGCAGGAATGCAATACGAGCCAAAAAGGGGATCGTGTCTGGCTGAGCGATGCAAAAGCCACTTGCTTAGCGGGATTGCTCTGTCGTTGATATCTGCATCTTGGCCTGCCTCTGATGCAATGCGGAGAGCCCTGCCGGAGAGCGCTCACGAGAGTACGGGATCCGGGTTCCTAATAACAATTGAGACAGACACTGGCTTCGTGTAACAATGGCACAGCGCGGGTGGGGGGGAAGGCTCTTTGATCGCTTGTCTTGTCGTCAACCCAAAAAGCCAAAAATGATAAATGACTTGGCACCCTCAGCCTTGGTCTCCAATTATTTTTTCCCGGAACTGATTTTCGTCAGGTTTTCCTGATATGATCTGATTTGCCCGCGTTGTATCCTATTTTGGTGCCCTAATTTTACCCCTCCTCAGTTGGCGGATCTCCTAGTACGCGGGGAAAGCTGTCCCTCTGCAGCAAATATGCGAGGACGTGTGGAGCTCGAACCAATTGGCCGTGGTTGGTGCCGGCGGTTGAGGTTCTTTTCCAGTGCGAGGCAGGAGCACCGAGGGACGCTCCAAGGCGAGTATTGAAAGGTAATGGGAACAGAAATTGGTGAGCGAAATAATGCAAGTCAATAGCCGTGTACGCCGCGCATGTGCTTAGCTGTCAGCAGAGCCCCTCCGAACGTAGCTTCTACAGACGCCAAAAGGTGTGTATGTGTGTGCGTGGGTGTAAAGGTACAGAAAAAATTATTGTTGGAATTGAGCAGGGAAATTCGGCTTCGCGTCGATTGGCGTCACTCGCCGGCCGGAGACTAGAGGAAGGCTGCGCAAGAAGGGAAAATCGGCGACGAGGATCGGGAGAGGAAATGCAGGATTGCCTGCCAACGCAGTGATGCAGGTGGTCCAAAGGGGAAGGTTGATAATTTGAGCAATCGGAGATTGGACCGACAAGAGTAATCGTGAGGGTCGCGATTGTCTAGTGTGGTCCGATATGTAGCTTTTCCAGTTTGCTGCACGGTTACGTGGAGTGTAGTAGAGGACCTGCAGCGAAAGGCGCCAGGATGTGTGAGTAAGAGAGTTGATCATGCGACGGAGGAAACAGTGCCAGCGTTATCCTTCGCCCGAGAGAGAAATTGGGATCTCCACTTGCGGAAGTCGAGGGAGCGAAGATGTCTGGAGTAAAGAGTGTCAACAAAATGCTGGGGAGACGGGGGAAGTCTTGGTGTTCGCCCTCTTAAGAGTCTCCCATCCAGGCGAATGCGGTGTCGTACAGACAGACGAGGGAGAAGTTCGGAGGGAAGGATTTTGGAAGTCGATTTCGAAGAAACCGATGGATGTTTCAATTGAAAGAAAGCTGGAGTGGGTACTTACTGACGTACTCCGTACCTGTGGTTTGGTAAGGTACGTATTTGCGTATTGTCAACTGGGAATTCCTGGTTACGAAACTCCCACGCGTCTGCCCCTCGTCATGTAACCAGCTTAGAACCGTTTCCCACCCCACGTCAGACCAAGCCCAAAGATGGTAATCGGTATTCGGATACGGAGTAGTAGGGAACACTGTTCTTTTTCCTTCCTCTTCTAGCCTACCTGCGGGACCCGCACCGCAAAAGTAATCTGGGAAGCCAAGTCCTGAATGTCTTAGGAAGGTCTGAAAAAAACGCGGGCACCAATTCTCTGGTACCAATGAAAACGCTCAGGTAATGATGATATAAGATCAGGATAATGATGATGGTGGTGGACGGCAGTGATGATAACAGAGGCGTTTTTTTTTTGTTGCCTTGTTGAAATGCGTCTAGCCCCTGTGAAAACTGCGCAATGTCTTCTCCAGGGAAAAATAGAGAAATCTCTGTTAAGCAGACCCAGGAGTACTACTTGGTGATAACAGCAATGAAGTAGCCAAAAGGAAGAAATTCCAAGTCCTATATACTGTTGGCTAAGGACCAGGAAAGGGATAGAAAATATTATTAACCTTTAGTTCAGGTATGCCAATAAGGTAGTCTAATCAAACTGGGCCGTCATTGCTGGGCACCTGCTCCAAGATCAAAGTCAGTTAACGGGTGAGCTGTCCAGGAAGCATAGCAACGGCAGCCCAAGCGGTTATGAGACTAGCCGCGATCATGAGATCCTATGAGGCTCCTCCAATCTACCCTCTGTCCTTCCTTCCGTCCTTCTTCGAAGGCTGATTGGCATTCAGGGAATTCATTGGGAAATACAGTAGCTGCTAATTTTTCTTTCCCCATTTTTTCCATTTCCTTTCTTTTTTCTAACTTATTTCAATAGTGCCCTTAGGTTTTTCTGTTTTCCTTTCCCTTTCCGGTTCTCCCAACGTTCGACCTCCCTACATTATCTATCCGCGTCCTTTATTATCTGGGCAGCATAGCATCTAATTCGGTAGATTTGTTACGGAGGACTCCATATAGTATTTGATCACGAGGATTTTGCTCTTCATCCACAATAGGTAAGATGCCCAGAAGCTGTTCGCTCCACTTCCTACAGTAAATCCTCCTCCTGGAGATCTGTAGGCAGTGGCACAGTGAACGGACATGATCTATTGGATGATCATCTCCTTGTCGATGGTTTCACTGTCAATCGTGGGGGAGCAGAGAAGCTGATAGGTATGTTGTTTCACCTTTCTCGGGAGGGGGGCGGATTGGGGGGAAATCGTTAGTTAGACAAGGCAGAAAAGGGAAGAAAAAGGGGAAGGCGAACAGAGAACGTCAGTTGCTATGGAAGGTCTGTGGATACAATCAAACCCTCCTCAATCTCACCCCCATAGCTAACAGTAGTTGTGACGAGCTCTTCCTCAAGGCAAAAAGGTTATTAACTTCCCTACGGATAATCCGTCCTGCATACACGGATACTCGGTACGGAGTACGGAGTTAACCACGTATCTGCCATCACTACGCGGGAGCAGGAGAATCCGAAGCATGCCTGACTGTCGATCCGCAAACACTATTACCGTGTTATCGCCAATATTGATGTTACAGATCCTTCTTGAGGCACCGGCACGGCGGTCCCTATGGGGAGATATGTGGATCTTGGATTCCCGCCCGCTGGGGTCTCCCTTCGTTTCCCGTTTCTGGGTTTTGATGCCAACCTGCCTTATCCCTGGCGCCCGACTTTTCTCCAAAAAGCCAAAGAATACGACTGGACTATTGTAGAGACTGCATGCAGTAGCAAGGCCCCCTTCCCCAGCACGCTAGTTGCATGTACGACCGTGAAAAAGAATTGGGCTCTTCCAACAATCGGGGGATTGTCACCTGATGCATTCCGACTAGGGATGTGCAGACCGCCTAAAACTTAAATCCTATTTTTTGCTGGCAATAGTTGTCCTGTCCCGTTTCGTCATAGTGCCCTTTAATTTCCCTTCAGATGCAATCATGTTTCTTTCCCTCTTAAGTGTCGCCAGGAAAGGGGGAGGGTGGGTAAGATTGGGAGAAAAGGAAAAGAAAAAACAAAATTACGGAGAAAAGGAAGATAAGGGAGTTGTGCAAAATAATTGCTGGTGCCGCTTTATCCTTACTCGACATTACTGTGGAGCTTGCGAGTGGTTCACTCGCATTTCTAGGTTCGTAGTTGGTACAAGAATGCGAGCGCAAGTGAGAGGGGTGAGGGGCGGTAATCTGTCGGTAAATTAATCGAACAGCAAGAGATTTTCGATTGAGTCATCCCAGCCCTGTCTTCATCTCAACGCGGGGGAGAAACGCGGCTAGTACCGTCATAGTAATATTACACGCGTGTTTGCAAAGCTGAGGCTGAGGAAAAGAGTGGCAGTGAAACCAGTCGGGGCGGTGCGGAAAGGGGGAAGGGGCCGGAAAGTGGAAACGCAACACGATTGAATGAGCTTGCCCAGAAACCGGCAGTCCTCCATCCCACGGTAAGAGATTGAAAGGTATCAATGATGCTTCCATGTAACCTGACAGGGATCGAATCGGCACAAAAATGAATCACGTATTTCTCATAATTTACGGTCTGCCCCATACTCCTGAATGCTTGCGAGCCCGTGGTGCATGTATTATTTTGGGCAAAACTCTTCAGCACATTAGCCAAGCTATCTAAAAGTCATTGGCCATTGGTAGCGCGCCCATGCACCACCCAGAGCAATGCTTGGAGTTCCCCATGGCATACGCTTCTGGACTACGACACCTTGATACCCAAGGTAGTACCAAGGCGGCAACAGCAGGAGGAGGATGAAGAAGCGGTCAAAGAGCCTCTCTAATTCTCTCGTCGCATAGAAACAACAAAGACGATAGGCAGCTTATGGTGAAGGCCGTGAAAGGGGGTAATAATATCATGGGTTCAATCAAACAGAATTCACCCAATGTGGATCTTACTTTCGAATCCATTTCTTCTCTCTCCAGTATCTGCCCTATGACACCATAGATCTGGTTTTTCCGTGGCTCCAGCTCCGGTCGCTCCAGTTTCAATGACTTAGGCGAAGTAGTAGACTCTTAATAGACACTAGCAGATCAAACTACCGGCACTATGTACCACCTACCTACCAAGGTATAGACCGGACACTGCATGGCTGCCCCTACATGTTAATGGACTGCTTAATATTCTTGGTCAGGATAATCGGTGGTGATGAAACTGCCAATTACGCAGTAGCCTGTTTGCTCATTCTTGATGGAAGGCAACCGTGAATAGTAAGCTGCGGGGCGTTTTCCCAACCCCGCACAAAGCTGAGCCATTTTGCTGATTTGGCGATGCTGCTATCGTCGTCCTATCAACTAACCATCTGCCAATTCAGGTTTCTTACACTCCGTCTTTCTCTGGCCCTGCCACTAAATGGTGGACTCGCGTTCTGACCACCGCGTCTTGAATTTAAAAAAAGCATTTCTCCGCTCGTCTCAGAACATTCCGGATTGGCCACAAAGGATCATTTGCATGTCATCAGTAGAGCCGTTATACGGCCGACTAGATGCAACCAAGTGGCATTGTCATATATTCTAGGGATGCACATCTGCCAGGATAATATCAAGCATGGACATACAGTCTCTCGGTATGGGCATTTACTGCCAATAATGAAGCAGATGAGCGCCTATTCACATCTATTACGATCAAATAGACTATCATGAGCTACCTTGCAACCACAAGCGTATATCGGCCGGGCCGTCCGCGGATTACCTAGCCTTTCCTGAACTAGGAAATTTATCCCTCCAATGATGGAGGCTCCGGTGATGCAAATGACCATGTGCTTTGGCAGGGTGTCAACGCTCTTGTATCCTACCGGAGGAGGGTGTAGGTTTCGAGCAGGTAATCATCTTGAGAGCCACGATATCAAATCCCGATCTTGCTCCGACCGATCCGTTCAACATTGGTGTCGCGGCTGTGGCGGAAATATTCCTTTGTGATCACGGGACACCTAATCGGTTTCAAACGAACGGTTTCCAGCTGACGACGCAAGGTGGTATGCGCCCTTGATAATCAGCAAAGTTCATAGGCTACCCCAATCATGCAAAGATAGCCGCGAAAGAGCGCTGAACTTTCTTGATAAGGGGAGATTGCAACTTTCTCAGAGTAGCGTCTGATTAGGTAGCTGAGTAACTGCAGTGCGTGCTTGGAAGATATTCAAACCATCATGGTGCATTCTGTATGCATGCACATACAATAGGCAGTTAGTGGGCTGTATCGAAGTCCAAGACCCTCCCGTTTGCAGACGCCGATGCTGCTGATCAGAAAGAGGGGAAGCTGAAAGATGACCCATGCTTTAGGTTATCGCCGTCTCGCGTGTATTGATGATTCTGACCGCTTCCTCTTCCCTGGGTTTCCTTCTGAACTAGATGCCTATGGATCAGGCAATCACCACCGACTATGGCTGAAACATGGAATCCAATCAAGCTGGCGGTGTCTATCAACTTGACGATCCATAGCGGGGGATGGGTTAGTTCATGGCGCGAAAAATGACGCATTGAACGGAAGCCGGTGAAGGAGGGGAGTGGATTAGTCAAGTTAGTTGACAGCTGCCAGAGATATGAGAATGGGCTATGTACTACTTCAAATGTATGTTTACTGACTACTCTGGACTGTTTGACTGCCCACGCACGTGTTATAGTAGTCACACATATCCTCATGCTAGTGAAGTAGAATTTTTTTTTTTTTTTCAGTTCCTCTGCTACCCAAGATTCATTCCGTGTTTGTGTTTGTAGGTCATAGAGGGAAAAGTACGAATTCAGGGTATCGCCTAGGAAGCTAACTATCCACAATCATTGGCCAGACAGAACAGCATGCTGACTAGTGCTGATTCCGTATTACTACATATTTTATGTCCAGCGCTCTAACCTAATGTTATTGAGTAGGTACTGCAAGTTGGGTGCTAAATGCGGTTGAAGGTGGGGTGAGTGCTCATGTGTTCACACGTGCAGACCTCATAGAGATATTATTGGTTCATAAGAAACATTATCGCATGCCAGACTGTCAACCACTACTTACTACTTCCTAGATACTACCTGAATTTATTCACTGCCAGAAGGTACGATGCTCCACCTCTGCTTGCCAAACGAAGGTCCCACACTCCAAGAAGAAACGATGATAAAAGAAAGGCTACCCGCTTGTAGCCAGCAGCGTTTCCGTGCTTGCGCATTAGCAATTACTTACATTCAGGCAGTCGCACTGCACATAATTCTCTATGAAAGGCATACTTATTTTCGTACTTATCCAGCGACAGGGGTACCGGACAACCATTGCTAACACCCGAAATTGAGCCTTCAAATACGTGCGGCCTAGTCATGACTTTGGTAGTTTAACACTGCTACTATAACTTGACGTAGTACCTACTAGTGACTAGTCCATGCAGACTGCTTTCTGTTCAAAAGGCAAACTCGGCAACTGGCCGGGGGGGGAAAGAATCATAGGTACCTACTGGGCAACCAACTTTACAGGGATGATGCCAAGCAGCCACTGTGATTGGGTAATATCACTGCCTCGTGGGGCTGTTTCCAAACGGCGACCCACTCTTGACAGGCTTCCAAGCCTTCGATTGCGGTTTCCTTTCGCTCAGGATCTCGCACCCGAGAACTCCTTGCTACGATCACACAGGCTGCTGATGCAGTGCGAAGTGACCCTTGCTACCCCTTATGCTTATGTTTTACTGCACTAGACTGGAGGGTATGGTGGCCGTTTTCAGCCGTACTAACAAAGGATGTGTGGTTATTATCACGATGTCGAGTAGTGACCGACTAGTAGCCTCCCTAAACCCCCCTTTACACCAAAAGCAGGATCTAGTTGATGTAATGCAATCCTCTTAGAGCCTTGACTGAATATCAAAGCATCTGTGCACATATTACTTCGTAGATCCTTACTAATACTAATGAGGGAGCAGCACAGTAAATACGCTACAATTTGTCACTGGTCAGATTCTTACTTTACGCAAGAATCGGGTGAAACGATGACATCATAGTACTGACGGCTAGTCGGAGACGTGCGCCAGAACAGCTTCATCGAGTCGGTCAAATAAGGGGGATAAAGGTGCAGGAGCTTAATGTTATAAGCAATTCTGAGATATACACTTGTAAATTCTTGAGGAAATTCCTAAACAAAAATAAAGCAAAAAAAAAAAAGACAAAGCTGAGCGGTGATTGAAACACAGAGTCAAATGGGAATTTCAAGGGCTGATCATGTTTCCGCCAGGGTTTCTTTATCGTACAGGTATTAGTTATGGCTCGTTTGTACTGAATTATTCATACCCTGGTTGCCCTACTCATCCTACGCGATTCATAGCGTCAGACCAGAGGTCCCTTGTTATTTTTCCTCTCCTTTTACGTCCTTCTGCCAAACCCCTAAGGGACCTCGTCTAAACCTTCTAATTTTGTGGTACAATATGTCATGAAGATATTATCACTTATGTAGTAGCACTGAGGAAGCCCGAAGAGCGTTTGCAAAATATTCATGGTTGATTTTATTCAGAGGAGAACTTTTTATCTGCCATCCATGTTATCTATCACGTTGGAAATGTGGTAAGGTTTTCGGTTGCTGTGGCCGGCTGCAGTATTTAGACTGGGCACCCAAAGTAACTAACGTCAATGTCTTCCCTGAAATTCAAAGAGAAGGCGGCCGAGAGAGCCGTTCCCAAATGAGTGGAACGTTGCGCCCCCTATACCGGGGTCTTGCCATGATGTGCCGTAATGATTTCCGTGGCTGGTTAATAACAGATGATGCTGGTATTACCGCTCATTATTGAAAAATACTGCTGCTCGTTACGAGCTCCCATACACTCAAAATACAATCTATTACATAGAGCATCATCATTAGTAACAACCACAGTACCTTGAGCATTCTGACTTTGGCATAGTGAGTCTTGCCGTACCTTAATCCGTCTTCGGCCTCTTTTCTATTTTTTTCCCTGAAACTTTAAAGTTAGTAGACCTGTCGCCTGCCCCAGGACATCTGTAGAACGAGGCTGCATATCCTGTGCGGCCATCCTTGTAGGTATTGGGGGGCAGGCAAGGCTATACTAACAAGTAGTTAGTGATAGAGCGGGTAAGATGCAACTCCTTTACTTTCTGTAAGAGTGGAAACCGTCTGAGCTGAGCCTCGTCGAGCCCGTTCCTTCGATGCGTCTTCGATGCTTCGACCTTCTTCGGTCTTTCAAATCCCCGGTCGCACGGCGCATGCTGCATGGTGTCATTCGGCCAACGCCTCGGTCTTGATCCCAACAATGCCGCTATCCGGCTCTGCTATGGATAATCCTTCCTATCAGCCAGCCAACCAGCCAGATAACGTGTTGTGGCTTGCTGATAGTCGAATGAGTCCTTCCAAATGACTATGCAGCACGCACGGGCAAAGGCCCTCCCTCTACTGCCAATTCCATTCAGTATCGATTATGAAGCCTCGTGACTGTCAATAGTTTGGTTTCTTTTTCTCTTTCTCCTCCGTCCTTCTCTCACCAAATCTCAGCCACTGAGCGTATCAGCACCGCATTGGGATATAGTTCTTTTTGGCTGTCTTGATGCACCAGGTCTGACTTCCGTCGCTTAGGCATACCAGCAGCGGGTACAGTCCTGCATCTGGGGAGAAAGTTAGAATCATCGCTTGTGACATAGGCTACCGATACAACTTTTTTTTAGCCGGACCGGACCCCAATCATTTCTGAGACATTCTGACTTGGCACACTCGGTTCGAATGAATGAGGATCTTGCTTGGTAATCTACGTGTCGTACAAAATACCCGGGTCAAGCGAGTTGGGGCAACGATTGTTCTTGCATAGTGCTAGAGAAGACCCTGGTCCAGGTCCCTGGCCCCAGATTGAGGCTACTACTAATGGCATCGGCCGATTCGGCCCACTGCAGTGGCAATACGACTTCTCAACCAACAGACTTGTTTGACCGGAAATCTGAATTCAATGGCTTGGAGGACTACTACTAAACGGGATTAGCCCCAACTGCTAACTTCTACTAGGTACTTTACTATCTGTTGTGTCAATTCATCGCGATAATCCAGATATTGGGACCAGGGACGGTGTATCAAAATATCATTGCGGCCATCTGAATGGTATTGCTCGACTGAGTCGATTGTGGTTTTGATACTGCCGCGACCTTACAGTTTGCACTTGACGACCATGGCTGTTCAATCATGAGATCACACTGTTACTCCTCTATACCTCTCAAATACACGCGGGACAGCATGGCCTTCGTGTATGAGATGAACCGCATCAATGATTGCAGAGGGTCGCTTTGCATAGTTACTGAACAATGAAGACGTTCCTGTTCTGTTTCGCATTCGTGTGCGATATACAGAGGCATATCTTACAATTCCAGGCACCCCCGCAACAAGCCAGGAGGGAGCATTCCATTTGAAATACTGATTGCTTTGTAGTGATATTATGGATGCATGCAGATGCCTGATCACCGTCACTGGAAACCAGGCGCTTAAGAAATGGAAAAAAGGCGTCCCACCTAATCCCTGACTCACCTTAAACTCCTCGGTGTGCCCAATGCTTCGGTGAAGTTGAATCTGTTTTCTTTTCTGGGGGGTGACGACTCTAAAGTACTGCTCTTGCTTGCCATTCAGACTCTCCCTTTGACTCTCGCATTCTGTTTTCCAACACGACATAGCGATCATGAGCACTGTTGGTGAAAGCCTATGCTGTCGGCACATCAGCTAAGGGAAGCTAACCCTAGCAGACCGAACAAGTAGGTCGAGCAGGAAATTGCACATGGAGTCCGCTTTCTGAATTGAAAAGAACTGACAGTAGAATCAGAGTGACTTGTCTCGAAGTTCGGAGGTCTCGTAAGCACAATATGTGTTGACTGACGAAACAACTCGACTTACTGGAATTTTGTAAATCGATCCTTTCATGGGGTCGTTCATACATATTACTTGGATACGTTTGCCTACAATAACTAATGCGGTTTTGTTCGGGACCAACCTGATCTTGACTAAGAACTGGGCACCGAAGAGACTCAACGGAAATATTCTCCTCCGCTCCAAGCACTCACTGGGTTCTCACATCATCCACCTGATTGACTTCAAGACGCTCCACCGACAGTATATTTCATGGATTGCAAAGACGCTGTCAAGGTTCGTAATGTTCCGGTTGCCCCTCCTTAGTTGCGAAACCTATCCCAGACGGACAAGGCCGGCGAACCCCACCCATAACATTGATGTCTTTTGATGTCTCTCCCATAAAAGTACTCATTGGCAGAATAGTCATAAATATACCGCAATCTTCAACAGCGAACAGCCTTCATGATCCTGAATTGAACTTCAGTATGGCACTGATGACGTTATGTCAAGGGCAAGCACTCGCCTCGGGATCGTGACCCACTCAGGGTTCACTAACTAGTCAGTGAATTAGTTTCAGTTATTAAGGGTTATTGAAAGCATCTCATTGACTCACAGCACACAACCATTGTTGTTTTCTGGCCCTAAGCTGAATCATCGGCTAAAAATAAAACTGGAGACAGCTATTCCGTGTTGCCAATATCCACCAATTTTCCATTGGACCAGTCGTCTGTATATGGATTTCTCGAATCCTTCGAGAACCGGGCCAGACGATACAAGCCTACAGAGAACCGTGACGGAGGCGAAACTGAGCTGCGGGTCTGCCTTTTCCGTGGAGATACAAAATACAGGCCAGATACACGATCAGTACGGTCTCTTGCAAAGCCGGTTGTTTCCGCTTCGCAGATTCTCACTCCAATCCAGCTTACCGTGGTCAAACTCTCAAGCGAACGACCCCAGACAGGCCCTAGGTGGGACGACTCCCAATCCAGGATATGCTGCCTCTCCAATAAGAACAAAACTCACCCGGCGTCGCCGGCCGCCCTTGCCGTTATCAGATTGGGCTCCGGTTTGCCCTGTGCTACTACTGCAGCCATCGGTGCGTACCACAATGACTCTCCCTGTCACTGGATGCTGCATATGCAGGTAGCCTGACCTTCCTGCGCCGGTGAATGCATAGCTTTCAAGTGCTACTTTAGCGTAAGGAACTGCCTCGCGACACGTGTCACTCCCGTTTATGTCTATAATTTCCCTTTGAGCGCAAGCCGTTGTTTGCTAGAGCTACGGGGTTTGATTGGGGCAGTAAGCCGAAGTGCTTGCGTGGCGTATCAAGTAGAGACGGTTTCTGCCTTGCTATGTCTCATCTCGCTTTGTATCACGGCAGTTTGACTCTAATTCACATGGGATTTTGTGCCTTCTTGACAAGTGTCGCGCCACTTGTGAAGGCGTATTTTTTATTTGTGTCCCTTTCACGCTCAACGGCAATGCTTCCCGGGACCGGTTTGATTGCAAGGCTGTTCATTTGCCGCGAATCTCCACTTGAATTAATGATACGTTATACGGATTCACAGGGCCTCAATCTATACGAAACTTGAATATGGAAGCATATATATGCAGCTTCTTGAGAGATAGCCAATGTCAAAAAGGGCTGGATACCACCAGCTAATATGATGCCAGAAACTCTATATCTCACGTTGAGGGGCACTTACAAGGCTACGAGCAGCACGATAACGCCCGCTAGAACCACGCAACAATCAGTCGCGCTGATCGAAAATGTGTGAGGCATACGCTATCAGTGGGCCTGGTAACACAAGCCACTGGCAACCAATTCTGTCGCAAATCAGATCGGCGAGAAATACTAGCAAAATCAACTGGCTAATCGCCTGATGGTGGTACAGACACCTGACACCCAAAGGGGGCCATGGAAAATGCCATAGGGTGTGAGCACGAATCGAACGAGGTTCATAAAAAGTACTTGGTGGGATCATTGCTTATTGCAAGCCTTATAGACGACATCGGTCTATCCGGCGCGAAGGTTAGTTCATGACGATGGACACGAAATGTTTTCGTAGTTAGCGGAATCACACGGCCCATCGGAGGACCCCCATGACCCAAACCTATCCTAAACCGAGTCAACAATCTGACGCCATACGGCTTATTGTTGTCCGTATCTCCTTGTCGGATTATTTCAATGGACTAATCGGATGGTAAGAGTTTCGAGTCTTGACACGTCAGAGACCCGTGTCGGAAGTGCTCGGTCTCGGGAGGACGGCCGTGCGCTGGATCTTGAATCTCATTAATATGCCGTGTTTTAATTTGAGGCTCTAGGCACCATGTGGAGCTTGTATGCGTCGAGCGACTGAGAGACCTGATTTGAGATAGCGGATGGAGCGCACTAGCAGCATGTGTGCTGTGTGCAATTTCCTGGTTTTCAAGCAAGTTATAGTTAGCCTGAGCGGTAGTCGGAACTGGTCATTGGTTCAGTCACGGCGGCGAAGGGCCAATAGACAGTTTTTGTATCGATGTGTAAACCCTCATCTCTTCGAATCAGAAGGCATATTGTTTCAAGCTGTTACTCATAGCTTCAAGATGGTCGACAGTGGGCGTAGACTGGCAACAAGTCAAGAACGGCGCCTTGGGCAACCACGAGTGCAGCAAAAGTCAGGTGCTCTTTCCCCAACTAACTGAAATCGCCAACTCATTCCATCCCACTTGCACTCCCCCTCCTCCTTCCCAACTTCCACCACCATCCATCAATCAGATTCAACAAGATAGACCGATAGCCACTTAGTCACATAGATCTACATCCTCAAGTCCGTATACAATAGACACCTGACCAAGATCGACTATGGACCTTTCGAAAGCGGTCGATCGTGCCTTCACCCAATCCCTCCCTAAGATCGAGGCAAGTACATACCCCATGCAAGCACGTTCCAATCGAATAAAACGACTCTCCAGCACTAGGAAAGAAACAGAATCAAGCTTGATCACTAATGTGTGTTGTCCCACAGCTCCATGCCCACCTCAGCGGCAGTATCAGCCGCCAATGTCTCCATGAGATCTGGCTCAAGAAGAAGGCCCAGGACCCTGACTTCAACATAGAAGATCCATGGATAACCATGCCGCCTGGGAAGGTAGATTATTCCCTGCAAACGTGGGTAGCCCCTCCACTCTCATACATGCATTGAGGACGCTCCCCACCGACCTTTAATTTCCAGATTTTTCCAGTCCTTCAACAAATCAATCTACAATCTGGTCAATGATCTTGCCAGCCTCACCTACGCCACCCATTCCGTGCTAACCGACTTCCAAAACGACGGCGTAGTTTACCTTGAACTCCGCACCATTCCCCGTGCATCCCCCTCCTCCTCCTTCACCCGGGAGGAATACCTTACTACCGTTCTTGATGCAATCTCGGATTTTCAGGCCAACCAATCCCCCACTTCCCCAAAGATGTCTGTATATCTGATTCTAGCTTTGGACAGGGGCCATCACACTACTGCTGAGGCCCTGGAAATTGTAGACTTGGCACTAGCCCACCGCGCCCGCGGCATCGTGGGCATCGATGTCTGCGGCAACCCAACCAAGGGTGATGTTTCAGTGCTACGGGAGGCGTTTGCGAAAGCCAAAGCTAACGGACTAGGCGTGACTGTGCATTTCGCCGAAATGAGGGAGGCGGCAACGCCTGGAGAATTGGAGACACTCTTGGAGTTTCAGCCGGACCGGCTGGGCCATGTGATTCATGTGCCTGAAGAGCTGAAACGAGAGATTGCAAGGAGGCAGTTGGGACTCGAATTGTGCATGTCTTGTAATGTGCACGCAAAAATGTTTGATGGTGGCTTTTTGGATCATCATTTCGGGTATTGGAGACATCAGAATTGCCCGATTGTGCTTTGCGTAAGTCTCTGCTACTATCAATTTTTCTCATCAGCCTCATTCTCTTACACGAACCGCCGACTGATACTGGTGCAGACCGACGATGTAGGGTTTTTCTGCAGTCCCGTATCGAATGAGTATCTGTTAGCTGCAGAGCACTTTCAGCTCACGCGGACCGATGTGCTGGGCATCTGCAGAAAATCCTACGATGCGATCTTCGGAGGCGAAAAGGAGAAAGACCGTCTTCGATGTCTACTATCTGACTTCGAGGCACATTACAGCACATAGCCGCTGATCGAAATTATGGATCTTCATTCATGTACACAAAGCTTCCTTGGAAAAGGGAGTATACCAGTATGAAAAAATATACAGATATAAGCAAGTCCACCCTCATGATCAGCTTTGCCATCTGAACTTGCCTTCCTTTAGCGTCTTGACCACTCCCAGGGGCATAGACTCCCTATTCACAGCTGCTAAATTTCCGTAAGTCTTTACCATCTCTTCCTGATACAACTCTGCCGTCCACTGCCAATATGCTGACATACTATACCACATATCCGAGATCGTGTTGCGACCATTGGTCTCATTGGTAACGCTCGCGTCCAGAGACATCTGGTTTCGGTGCAGTTCTGGCGTCAGATTGATGCTGATCTCCTTAGGCACACGGATCAGCTCCGTGTATGCCTCCAAAAGTGGACGGCTATAAGTTTCCGAGTATCGGGTGTATTCCTCCAAAGTCATGTCAGCCACGTCGTCGTCCAGTTCAGTTCCCAGAGAAGTAGATTGCTCAGCAGAAGTCCCTTCGTCAAATCGCCGCTTGCAATCATGGTACTCGACTTCATATTGCATGAAGGCCTTATGCAGCCGACCTTTAGGCGTTGCTTTGATGTTCTCGCGCATTGCGAGGAAAGGGATATAAGGATTCAGGAGCTCCAGCCCACCGAATTCTACAGGAAAGTAGAAAAACCCTTCTGGGAGGTCCTTAACACCAAATCGTTCTGCGATCACTTGGCGCAGGTAGTCGGTCACCCCGCTGGAGGTTCCGGGAAATAAAGTTCGCTCAATACGACTCAGTGTGGATATAGCCATATCTATATGGCTTCTCCCAAAGCACATGGCTGGTTTCGCAAAGTTGTTGGCGAAGAACCGTCCAAAGTAACTGTTCCATGCCTGGACCCATGAGAAGACGCTCTTGCAGGATGAGAGCTGGCGTTGTAGCTCCGCAATGTGGCTGTCGACCTGTTCTTGATCAATGACAAAACGACCTTCTGAAGGATCCAGCTTCAGGAATCCCCAGCGAACATCTCCTTCAGGCAGGGGGTCTGACGCTTCCTTTTCCTGAGAGTCAGATGGCTGCTCATGATGGTCTGCCACGTCTTTTCCCTTCAGGCGCACTGTTCCCGTTTTTTCCTCGTTTATCTCTAGGCCCATGACCTTGGTGAATTTCTCCATTGTAGTCCAGGCTTTGACACAAGTCTCTTCGTGACCCCAGAACCAAAAGTCATCATGCAGCCGATATAGATAAGCCCCGTCTGTGCTTTGGTTCACCGCAAAGTCCATGCAGAACAAAACTGCCTCCCCAAAACAAGTGGAAAGGGCATGGCTCATGGGTATACCTCGGCTCCGAGTTCGCTTGGAGGCACCTGGTCCGTCTTGTGCAAAAGTTACCGGAGTTCTTAGGAACTTGTGGGAAAAGTCCAGCCAGAGTCGTGGAACACCAAAATACTCCAATACCACCAGTATGGTAGTGTGTGAGAGAGAGGGTCCAAACCATTTGAAATCAGATCTAATAGCAGTGAATTGGCCGTGCAACGAGGTGTATAGGAGGGATTCGGTAATCAGAAGATGTAGCAGTGAGTGCTTCGTTTCCAGTGGGTTCTTTTTTGCGTTATCAGGCTCCGCATCCTCGCCGCCATATGGGTCCATATTCGCGTCCATCGAGGAAGGTAGGAGGCTCATAAAGTAGTCTTGTTTGTACGTTTCCTTTCGGCGATTGTTTACACTCGTTGTACCAAGGCGTTTGGCGTTCGTCCCCGTGAATCGAGAACGGCGAGACATTTCGCGCCTGGGAATTCGTTCCCGAAGGAAGTTCCAAGCTGGTGTGTCAAGAAACGAGTTGAAGGCAGATCGAAATGTAACTGACCATTTCATCCCCAGGTATTCGAACATGAGGCTATCCAGCAGATCTTCGTCCATATATACCCGGTATTTGCCATTCAGCTGGCGACGCATCTCCACTGGGATACCCTCTGCAGGCCAGCTCCAGTTGTCAAGAGAAGCCAGGCGCATATTGAGGACATCTACCACCTCCTGGGCGACTGCCGGGTTGCGCATGAACTCCTTCAGAACGGCCGTCTTTTCTTTGGTGAGCAAATCGGACTTCAGCAATGAGTCCGATACCCACTTGAGGTCAGCGACCTCAAGCCAAGATTTCTTCGAGGCAAAGTCAGTTCCAAAGGTCCTGACTGCGTCCCGCAGTTGCTTCAATGCTTGCTGTGAGGGTGTTGTTGCTTGGAAAATACCGTCAAGGTATGCTTTGATGGCAGTTCCATCTACATCTGTCTCTATGAAGACCAGAGACTCCCATGTGGCTCGCTGTTCGTGCATTTCTGACCGACCAACATTCTCGAAAGCCATTCCTTGAGACCCGTCCTCGTCCGAAGCCGAGCTAGAAGCAGCCACCTCTTCGAAGTCACGCAGCCATTCCGTGACTAGCTCGCTATAGAAGTCGGCATGCTTATGCCTTAGCTCGAGGTAGCTAAGCTCCTGTTCGAGCTGGGAAATCCAACTTTTCAGGCTGCGGTCTGAGACAGAAGGATCATACTTGCTCTGCAGAAGGAAGCGACGAATATTAGCGTGAATAGCGCGCTCAGTCTGATCTTCAACGGCAGATTCTTCATTAGATGAACTGTCTGTGTCTAGATCCTCTTGGTCAAGTGCATCATTGGGGAATCCCTTGAGCCTGGTCACACCTTCCAGGAGAACCTGGGCCTTTGATCGTAGACTGTGAGCATCCTCGGCAGCTTGTACAATCTCTGCTCTTCTCTTCTCGAAAAGTGTTCGTTGTTTGGAGAGTTCATTAATCTTAGTTGCAGTGATCGAACCCAGTGTCTGGGGAAGAGCCCCGCCAGACAACATTTCTTCGAAAGCGCGGTGGTGAGGGTGCTTTAAAGAAGGCCGAGAAGAGAATAACTCAAACTTGGTAGTGACGACGTAGCAGCAGGAGAAGGGTAGGTAGGTAAAAAACAAAGACCAGTTCAGGAGAAGTAAGATCTTTAGGAATCTCAAGACTTTGTCAGATAATTGGGAGCAAAATCTTTTTAGGGAGGTGAAATATGGGATCGATCGACTGAAGATGATCGGCACGGAGCAAGAGCGATATGCTCCATATAAATAGCCACTTGTGGGACCCCGTGACTCAGGCAGAAATCTCGACGGCGAAGCGTTCAATGCAATTGTAATGAACTAGATGGGCCATTAGAGAGCCCAGTCCGATAAAATGCCATAATGGATCATTGTCGGTTCCTAAAAGGGATCCCGACTCTTCCAAAAGGGGATCCCGACGCGCCGACCGAGTCATCATCGGCAACCATTTACGGCGCTGTGGACAACGGTCTGAGTTCCAGCCAACAATCGTCATACTGCATTTCCAGCCAGCTCTTTCCTCGCAGACTGCCCACGCTTCTGATCTGCCATTGTAGAATGAGTCCCATCACCGATTTGGCTACTATTATCAGTGCCAGATCCTTCCCAACGCAGCCTCGCGGACCCTTGCTAAAAACTACGAACTTTGTTTCCATCTGCCGCCTGTATTCAGCATCTCCAGTCCATCGCTCTGGTTTCCATTGATCGACATCATCTCCCCAGATCTTGCGAGACCGACTCAAGACATAGGTGTTCGCAGACACTGTAGTGCCGACCGGTAGCGGTATTGACAGGCTGGGAATGACTCCTTCAGCACCCGACATGATTACACGAGGAAATGCTGTTGGAAAGACTCCTTGGAAACGCATCGTCTCTTTTATCACAGCCTGCAGTTCGATGGGGATCGTGGCAGCCGTTATGCTCTGACTGGAGACTGCTGCCTTCCTGCGAATTTTATCCTGCCAGCCCTGTCCTTCTTCCGATCCCAGATGGTGTACTATAGCCGTGAGCGCGGCCGCCATGCTCCCGGGGCCTGCGAAGATCATATTCATAGCTTCAGCTAGGACCTCAGGTTCTCTCATATGATTTGCATCGTCAACGGGGACTTCGAGCCAACTTTTCACAATCCCAGGCTTTGGAGACTGAATGACATGTTGGGGATTTCGCATGATTGCCCTGTGGACGGCAGCCGCGAGCCCCACCATTCCAGTCTGTGCACCATCTTTGTTGTATAAGAGGCCGCGAGGGAAGGAATTGATGATCCAGCTGTTCATAACCCACCCGTACATTGGCCAAAGGGAGTAACTCCATGCTGTCTTGGTTGTCTTGCGAAGCTGCGAGCATATGGCACCGGCGGCAGCACTATCAGTATAAGGGTTCGATGCTATAGCCGAGCCAAACAGAATTTCCAACATTGTGTCCAAGGTGAACCGGGTTACCAAGGGAGCCACGTTTACAGTTGGAACTCCTTCTCCTGTCGGGTGTCGGGACGCCTCCAGTCGTGACAGTAGGACTGCTACATGTTCTTCAATGAGAGGCTCATACCTCCCTACCTTTGAACTGGAGAGAGCCGGCCCTAAAACCTTCTTTTTTTTCTGGCGGTGAATGGTATCCGATTTCGTTGAGAATATACTCGCCTCACGCTGGCTGGGACTTCGTCCAAATGCATAGAAGTCACCCTTTTCGACGGACTTGTTGAATCCATAGATAGCGTCAAAGTCTTCCAAACTCGAGAAAGAGAGCCAGTTCGGAGCAACTCGAACTACAGGGCCATATTTCTGATGAAGTTGCTGTTCTGCAAGATGGAGTTGGCCACTCATGAACATGAAGAACCGCCTTTTACTCACAACTAGTCAGCTCAAAGACTTTCGTAATACGCAAAGGATATGACTGGATGAACACGTACCAAAGGTTCGTGAAGCGGGCCCAAAATGGGCCTGGGTAGGGTGCCAGAGGATGGAAGTAGCATAGGTAAACCATCCGACTAACGAGAGTGAGCACTGTAAGCTGGGCTATAACGACAATTAGTGAGGCCATTGTGAGGTATCATGACCGTCCCGGTTTGGACCAGCGACACGATGATTGTTTGGCGTTAGTGTAATTTTTACTGAGCAGCAGACACCGGGTAGATAGGAGTAGAAGACAGTTAAGGCAAGACCAGAAGAGCTAGAGACCCCGCCACGTCACGCGATCGGTGTGATGCACCCTAGAGCCCGCAGTGCAGTCGACGCTAGCATGAACATCAATAATATCAGTCTGGCTGGTGACGACAACAAGATTCTGGTGTTGAACCGCTCACTCTTTGCAAGTTAAGCCTGGGCTCCAGGCACTGCAGGTCAGCTTGTAGATCCGCTAACCAGTATGGGCAAGTCTGAGAGTCACCGACAGGCGACACTCAGGAGGCGTACAGCGATATCATATTGCCCACACGCTGTATGCTGTTCGGTTTGCACGTAAGGCGACCATTTCCTGAATAATCTTTCTTTCTGCGAGCCACAAGTAGCACATTGGGTTTGCTACTTATATTCTTTTCGTCAAGCATCCGTGAAGATCTATCGACTAGCAGGTCCTAGCCCGAGTAATCGTTATTGTATCCGCATCATACCATTCTATGCATGTATTCCGCTCAGTATTCAAATCTTGACTGGCGAGCGATATTTCTATTGCAGGCCGATCAAGCCAGCAAAGTTGCCTGGGCTGAACATTTTGTCGCACGAAGTCATCTTATGAGCTGACTGCCCGGTTGGCATTGAACTATCCCCGATTTGAAAGAGTGGATAGGATAAGCAGAAGAAAATAGAGAAATAGCGAACAGCTAGTGCTAAACAGTGCAACAGAAAAGACGAGGACGGGACAGAGAAGGGAGTGCGACGAGGGTGCAAGAGCTGGACCTACCCCCTAGTACAATGGCTTCACCTCCCTCACCAAGAGACGTAACTATCATTATACCTGATCGTAGACCGCAGAGCACTAGGACAATCATTAGTCGACACAGGCCAATACTACACACACATGTAATGTTCAGTCACAGATTTAAGCAAAAGACTGAGAGCGTACCTGGGACAGACTCTCGACAGTCAGAGCAAGGGTGATTGTATAGCATGGGTCCCAGCTCCCTCCTAGTAGTATTATGTGCGATAGAATATAGCCGCCTATTGACAGTAAGCACCAACCTCATCCATGTATGCATTAGCAGCTACCGAGCGAGAAGCGTGGTATATCCGTCAATGGAGATAGTTGTATATGAGATAGTGATGAACGACACGCTCCATCCTCACGAACGCCGAAGAACAATGACTTCCGAAAGGGGAAAGACCGGTCGGAGCGGACCACCAAGTGGGGGAGTCGCTTCTGCACTAGGTATCATTCCCCACCTACCTGATTGGGATAGCTATACTCTTCTACTCCTGAGATGAAATATCTATCCATCTTGATTAAGTCACTTTGGCTAAATACTAAGACCCCGGTAAGGATTATCGAAAACTTATTGCAGTACTTAAAGTGTGAAAATTCTTGCCAAGCATGAATCTCTGGTCGTTCATGGCACTGTATTAATATGTACCTTCCCACGGAAAAGTAAGCGTTCAGTCATTAGAATACAATATCAACAGGTAAAGAAAGAAAAAGTCATGTCTCGCTCATAGCACCGATGAAGCGGTGGACTTCGGGTGCTTCTGATCAACAGGAGCTTCGACGTCCAGCGGCTTGCCGGTCGGATGCTCATCCTCCGGATACACCTCCTGCCCATCCGCTACGGACAGACGGTCTTCATCAACGTCGATATCCGCCTCATGCCACGTGCTGCTGGTGGCGGAAAGGGGGAACAGTCGGGCCAATGCGTAATACATCACACTTGAGACGACAAAACCGGAAAAGTAGTTGATGTTGTAGATGTACTGGGCTCCCACAGGCACGGTACGCCCAACTGCGCCGGCAAACCCGACGATATTGACGAGAATGCCTGCAAGATACGAAGCGTATGCGTGCCAGGAGAAGCCGTACGTGTAGCGGTATGCTGAGTCATTTCCAACACTGTACAGATCTTTCACTCGCAGATATCCTTTCCGAACAAAGTAGTAGTCGGAAATCATAGGCCCGGCGATAGAAGAGAGGAAGATGGAGTAGGCTGAGAGGTAAGTGGTGAATGAATTGGATGAAGACGAGAGTTTCCACTAAGAGACTATTAGCTTTTCTCATACCACACAGACTATGGAAGAGAGAATAATCGTACTGGACACATGCACAGGCCGATCGCGGCGCAGATATAACTACCCCGGCGGATGTTGAGGTATCGAGGCAGCAAGGCCGTCATATCGGTACCGGCAGAGACCGAGTTGGCAGAAATGTTGGTGCCCAGCTGGGCCAGAGCAAAGCCAGTCGAGATGATGAAGATACCGAAGCGCTCGGCGGAGCTGGCGCCATCCAGAAACTGACCCAGAAGCGTCAACGGGTTCCACACAAAGTCACCGCCGAAGATAACAGCAGAAGAAGATGAGACGATGATGCCGATGAAGGAGGTGATGCCGAACCCGATTGGGATGGTGAGCAGCTGGGACCACAGCGCGTCTTTCGGCGACCGAGAGAACCTCGAGAAATCCGGGTCATTCACAATCAGCGTAGCAAAGTTGCCGAGACAGCTCATGATAGACTTGACTATTGCCCAGGCCAAGGTGCTTCCGTGAGCTGTAGCGGGTTGGTGCACGATGGGACCAATTCCGTTGGCGCGGGAGATGGCCCAGGCAAAGAAGGCGATGGCGGCGATGGGAGAGTAGATGGCTTTCACGGTAAAGAGATGTCTGATCTTATGGACCGGAAACCAGAGAGCTGGCAGTGACAGGAGCCAGAACAGGAAGAAGCTCAGGAAGTCCTTGGTGGTGACGCCGGAGCTTGCGGGGATATGATTGGGGATATTTCTATAACTTGGCCAGATAGCCTCAATCATCAAAGTTACGCACTCGCCTAGTCCTCATGGTTAGCTTCGCTCATCCGGAAGGGGACCGTTGTACTGTGAACTCTTGTGGAAAGGCTCACCTCCAATATAACCCTGAACACCATACCAAACGACAGCCATTGCCGCCCGGTTGAAGACGGGCCAGAAAGAACCCCATATTCCAAAGCTGGCCCGGCATGCGACCGGGAACGAGATGTGATAGACTGCACCGATGCGACCGGTCAAGCAGACAAAACAAGCAGCAATGAAATAACCGACCCAGACGCAAATCCATGCCTGCCACCAGGACAGACCGTCGACGATCATCGAAGATGAAATCATCCATGTGTTCTGTTATGTGCGAGATGATGTGTTAGTTCAGTGGATACTGTATGAAGATGACTCAATTGGATACCACAGCAGCACGAGACACTTACGATATTCAAAGAGTCTGCAATCCAAAAGGCGATGAAGTTGTACCATCTCCATTGACGACGCTCGTGTTCAACTGCAGTCGGCGGAAATCAAATTTAAACACGGTCAGCTTCCAGTGTCCTCTTGTTGAATCCGGCTGCACAAGCACGGAGCGTCTCAATGTGATCCGCCAGCCAGTTTCATGATCTCACCTGGCCGCAAGTCACGGTTCGTCAACATCAATTGAGTATTGGTCAACCCGGGCTCCGTAGGCACCTCGAGCTTTTCGATCCATTCTTTGATTCGAGGCATCTCTGGCCTATGTGGGTATGTTGACAAACGTCGAGGGGTCGAATAACACAGCAACAGTATGTATTGGGAGATATCGATAGCTATGGAGTAGTAGGTCGATTTGTTGGGTTCTGAGGTGGGGGAGGAGGAGAATAGTATTCTTTTAGGGCTGATGGGAGCAGAACCACCAGGGTTATATGCTCGCAACAGAAGCCACGGAGGAACAGAAGATAAGAAAAAAGAGGTAATAATTTCTTTCACCAGTCCAGGCACGACAATTCAGGGGGGTGAACGAAGAGATATAAACACTTTTTGTCTGTCTGGGCGTATACCAAAGAAGAAATGGAAGGTACTACTATCGGCGTCATCGCCCATCGATGGGCCAATCAAGGTGGGTGCTGGAACAGATATGGAGCGGGTTCCATCATGGATTCTGGGCTGATAATGGCTGGATACGCCAGCATGACATCCGGGTTGAGTTATTCATTCATTCACCCATGTCTTAATTCTGTTCTTAATTTTCTTTGCCTTTTTGACAAGAGATAAAGATAAGAAAATTGGTCAAAAGAGGGCCGGGATCGAGCTGGACAGCGCCACCCATGTGAAGCGAGCTTATCGCCCTCCATGGGCCGTTTGTCGGACGTACCAGGAGAGCCGACCACAAAGGAAGGACGATAATCATTTTCCATTGCTCGATCGGGTCGAGTAAGCGTCAACGTTATCAGTTGTTCATGGGAAGATATCGGGACTTGTCTGCTGTTCTGCATCTCCACTGGTCCTCCGCAATCAGTCCGAGCCCGGGGGTGCCCCAGTTCAATCAGCGACTCACAGCCGTTCACGGGTCCACTTAGTAGCTAGGGCCTATCTAATCACTAGCCCGGCTGACTCGATGCCATCGAGTAAAAAGATTGATTGGGAATCATCAGCAGATGCTGATGCTCCTGGTTTGCTTTTTTCTTCTTTTTCATCCGTCCCCATCGTCGGCTGATAACCGGTTCCTCTCCCGCAAGTTGAACCCGAGGTTCTCTTTGCGAAATTCCTCCGGATGGAGAGCTTAAGATTTTCCAAATCCAGAAAGGGGAGGAGGCACGTGTATAGTCAGGTGGGGATCACCTGATTGTGCATGCAGTTTTGACTGCTATCTAGCTAAATTTAATAACAAAACTTAGTGAACTGCTGACTGTAATGCTAATCAATCATTCCTGATTGATTGACTAACTAACTAAACCAACTAGTTAACTACCGGAGGCACTTAACTAATAGTAGTTCGACAGCCACCTTTAATCCCGTTCGCATACTCTACTACCTAGTAGTCTACCCCGACTACGACATCATACTACTACCATCATATTATAAATCCATTCCCCGTCATCTGCAACCCCTCTTGCACCACCACCATTCACACACACGCAAAGAGACTCTCACATATACAGTCCTACCCAACACAACTAACTTTAAAAGAAAAGAGAAGTAAGAAAATAAGAAATTACAACATTCATCGAAATCCCTCAAAATATACCTTACACAGATTGTCTAGAACGCCTCTCCTCATTATTTCGCTCATACTTACTACATGATTGCTTGCCAAAATCACCAGCAAACAATTTACACTTTCTCCCTTAACCACAACCAAAATTCCCCTTCCCTACCTTTATCTCCCCCGACAAACTCAGATCCCAGTTCCCGAGAAGTCAAGATTGGCGATCAGATCACTGGAAACGTGGCTCAGGACGGTGCCATACACATCATCCCGAGCCTCTTGGAGGGGGTAAAGGGTAGTAAGGGAAGGGGGAGTGGTGTGCGAGGATTTGGAACTGGATCTTGGAAAGCCTAACCTATTCTTCTTGCTTAATATTATTGCTTCTCAATTTTTTTCTTATGCGGGGGGTCCGAAGTCTCAAGCAAGAAAACAAGGCATTAATTGTACATTTGTACTTGAGTAGTAGTAGAGTTGGAGAGGCAGGTAGGTAAAGCGACTAGCAAAATTGCACTCAGGATTGGGGCATACTAGGAGCGAACCACATGTTCGAAATAATTATGAATTTCGTGGTGCGCGCAAAGCACAGCACCCGTTGAACTAAGTACAGAAGAAATGTCTATATGCAATCTACATCCCGCCATGCCAACCACCGAATTTATGCCATCGCCTAGCCCTTATTCCACTTGCCAAACTTCACGTAATCATCGTACAGCGCCTTGAACACCGCCCGGCCAGACACGTCCAGTCCTGCGTTCATGGCACGCATCGTCTCGCGCGACATTACATCCAAGACTGCGTAGAGACCAGGGACAATGGCGGCCTTTACTTCGGGAGCGAGTGTGCCGCGCAGGGAACTCTGCGTATACTCCATTATCAGATACTGGAGGTACTGCCCTGCGATTCGCTTGGCTTTCTTGGTCTGATCAGTCAACCCTTCATAACCACCTGCGGACTGTGTCGGTCTCGAGACTGCGGATACGGTTGGGTCGCACAATGACGTGAGGAGACGGGTGAAGTGAACTGCGTGCGACGCTTGCAAAGGAGCAAGCCAGTATGGTTGTTGACCGAGTTTCTTTTCATGAAGCATGGATCGACTGCGCTTCTTGGAACGAGCGAACAAACAGTCCAGCAGTCGCTCGACAACAGGCAGTATGAGGTGGAATCGGCCTCCAAGCTTCTGACGGTGGAGACCCAGGAGGACACCCATCAGGCGACACAGGCGGATATAGACGGTTCCCGCGTATTCGGGGTCGATGCAAGGTCCTGACTTAGAAGCGCACACCGCAATAGTTCCCAGGATATTATCGACGTTCCATTGCGTGATACAGCGAGTGTAGTTCCGGAGGAGAATGTCGAGGCATTCGGTCGCAAGTGTAAACTGCTCGATAGACTTGTTGCGGGGTAGAGATTCGGTCACTGCGGTGCAAACCAACGATATTTCTTGGGCTGTGAGGCTTTCTTTGTCCTCAATTGGGGGCAACGAGGCAATAGCCAACCCGGCAATGAGCATATGGTACTCCGCATTCTCGCCAACAAAGCCTAACTCCCGCACGTCTTGAATGACTCGAGTCAGCTCTTCCACGGACATAGACTGAAACCTTCCAGAGGTGGACCGGATGAAGAACCGCTGTTCCTCGCTGTACATGTGCTGCAGCGGGAGGGCCTCGGCACATTGAATCACAGGTTGTGTAATACTCTTCTCAGAGCCGCGACCGGCCAGGACTCGACGTCTTATGAGTCTTCTCAGCGAGGAGCCCGAATCAACCGACTTCTCCACGTAGCTTTCGATCTTTGACAGGAACTTTTCGACCTCGGCATGGTCCGTGGCAAGATCCTCGAAGTCTTCCAGCGCATCAATAATCTTGATCAGGGTGATCGTCTCTTCCAGCTGCTGTTTCTTGCACTGATCCTTGACAGACTTAACTTCGACAACCACCAGGTCGAATACCTTCTGGCGGCAAGCAGCAAGATCTGTCTCTTCGAAGACATTTACCAGCTGCTTACGGTGGTGCCACAGCTGAGACAGAGAGATCCTCAGGTAGAAGCAGTCCATGGAGTCACGGTCAAGAGTCTGTAATTTTGATGCCTTCGATGAGACCTTGCGGTACATCTTCTTGAACAGCTTGTGACGCTCTTCATCGGACAGAACAAGCAGCTTAGCTATGACTGCTCGGTGCAAATTGCGGAAGGCCTTCATGATCTGAAGATCAACCTCGCTTCCCTGCAAGGTGACAGCCTTCGCAATCGTCCAGACCGGCTCCCAATTGCTGGTGACGGCTGCGGCAGATTTAGGCATATCGGCCAGCTTGGCCATCAATGACAGCATTCCAACAGTGACTTCGGGCGTGCTGTCTTCCCGGACAATAACCTCCTGCAACAGATCCAGCAAAATCGCTCTCTGCCGGCGCACGACAAGCGGGGCAGGAATCCTCTGCAAGCTCTCAACATAGAGTTTACGGTTCGTGCTGTCCTCCTTGACCCGGCTCGAGAGCACGGAGATAAGATCAGACGCGATGGCCGGAGCGTTGAGCAGATACTCATGGCAGACAACGCCAGCCCAAGCCTGAAGGTATCTGAGTTCAGGGCTAACAGTCTCCAAAGCCGATGGTGAAGACTTGTACTGAGATGTTGCCAAAGAAAGGATATGGCCAAACAAAGAGCGTCTAGTTTCAGGCTCAACCCAATCCCAGACATCCGGACTCCTGACAAGTGTCAGAAAATACGCCAGGGCAAGAGTATCCGGCCTATTCAGAGTCTCGATACGCCCGTTCCAGGGTGATACAATTGCATCCGAAGCATCTTTGTCGGAGATTGACTTGACTAGCTCTGTTATTTGGCTGGTAAGTGATTTGAACTGATCATGGTTCAAAGACCCCTTGACGGCGGCAAGGGTAAATTGATACGCCTCGAAACATTCCAACGGTGCCCAAGGTTTCTGCAGCCGGTCCTTATGGTGACGCCGAATGGTCGCTGCGCCTGTATCGACCAGGTTCATGATCGCAACTCCGAGATCATTGTCGGTGGATTGGACATTATTTCCCAACAGGTTTCGAGCGAGTCGCCACAGCCGCCATCGCCAATGCAGCTTTTGCTTCGACGACAATGTTGATGCTGCGGTCTGGATGACAGAGCTAAGAGATTCGTTCTTGTCCGCGAAGCTCAAATCACGGTATCTGAAGCCAGACTCTAGGATGACGAACTGGGCGTAGGCTCCGGGCGCGTCGGCAATCTTCCCATCCTCGCTCCTAATCTCCACCGCAGCTGCCTTGAGTTGCGCAGCGGCAAATGTGTGAGTGAGGGGACTTCGCATCACATCGCCATATGCATTGCACACGTCATCATCCTCCCAAACAATAAAGGACCCCAAGTTCTTATTTTGCGACCGTGCCTCTTCAACCTCGATGAGCTGCTCGTACCAAAACTCCATGAAGGTGGGCAAGTCTCGAGCGGCCACGAAACCACGTAGCAGAGGTATAACAATGCCGTTTTTAATGGTCTCATAGCTGCCGTCACTTTGGGGCGTACCGCTGCGCCAATGCAAGAAGATCTTCTCCAGCAGAGCCTTCAGCAATTTTGTCGAGTCACTGAGACCAGAGTTAGGGAGGAAGATATCAACACCGAGCTCAACAAGTAGCGATGTAAGATTCCATTCGATCTGCGACAAACCATCCTTGAGGAGTCCGGTGTAGGAAGCGTGGGTGAGCAACGTATGTAGAGACAACTGCACGTTACGGACAAGAACCACACGGAAGAGACGCTCCAAAATGCCGACGAATTCGGGAAGGTAGGTGATTGTATTCTCGGATTTTACAATTGAGAATGCCAGCTCTGCAATAGCAACAAACAGAGTCTCCAGCCACGGCGCCTCGTGTGTCTGTCTCCGGAAAGTGTCCCTTGGCACAGAACGAACCGCGATATCGAAAAACTCCGGGAGCAATTCTGCCGTCTTCCACATGATTTTCTTTTGTACAGTGGTGTCCTCTGCAGTCTCTGCCGGGCATTCTGGTTTGCAGAGGATAGGTCTAAGTGTATCAGAGATAGGTTTGACCGGGCTCCAATCCGGTTCACTCGCTGAATAGTCAATACCCGCACCTCCTCGCTCGTAGAAGCCACCGCGTGTCGGTATGACCACATGCAGAGCAATCAAGCGCTCCACCCCATGCAGTACGTGAGCCCTCTCATCGGTGTCAAGTCGGATCGATCGAACAGAGACCTGAAGTCTGAGTGCGCTCTGGAAACAATGTTTTGCAAAGCACTCATTACTCAGTCCCTTATCGGAGTCATCACGGCGAGAGGACCTCAGTTCCCACAGCTCCAAGACCGCAGGAAATACGTAGAGGAGGTGCTGTAAGTCCGTCGTCTTGCGCGCATGAGAAAATTGCGTCGAAATCACGGCAGCCAGTCGGAAAGACTTTTGCAGCGTCACCGCGTTTGGCTCTGGCTCACCCTTCAAAGCGTGCTTCAAATGGGAGCTAGCGACCTCATCAACCCCAAGAGTCCGATTCGCCAGCATGATCAAGCTATACAGGCAATCCAGTGCGCGAATAAAAGCCAAGAAACACGAAATCGGCGTGCGCGGCTGGTCATCAACATTCATAGTGTCTGCTTCATCGTCGCCGGCCCTTTTTCTCTTCGTTCCCTTCTTATCGTAATCGCCATTGCGGTGCGGAGAATCGCTCAAGGTATGACTTGAATCCGAATCGGAGGGCAGTAAATCAGTCGTTCCCGTCTTCAGCGCTGCGAATACATCCTCTTCCAGGTCGGCAATAGCTTGATTGAAAATAGCGAGGAACTTCTGGTCCTTCAGAGTCGTAGCCAGGGTCTTCGGCGGGATTAGATCGATCAACTGTCGGAGTAGGAGAAAAGAGGTAGAGTCGACGCGATAATTCTTGCCGGCCCGCAATTTTTTCAATAACCATCGGAGCACCCATTCCTCCTTCGGCGCGGCATTATTCTGAACATGAGGGGTTCGATTGATTTCAGGGTGACTCGCACATAGGGCAAGATCCAGGCCGATGATCTGAGCGGCTTCGTCAAGCTGTGTGGTCGGAGACGCGGTGCCTTTTTCGAGGCGGAGTAAAGCCTCCTGTGAGGAGCGCGGGCGCTGTATAGAGAGAAACAATCCCAGCAGGTTAGCCGAACACTCAAGTTGCATACAACCGAAAACGCTGGAAAGATAGCGAGCCAACACATACCTCCGCGACTGAAGGCATCTCGGATGAGACGAGTCAGATCGTAAAGTACCGGTTTCCCCAAGATCCTCGATGCCACCGCGTCAGCACAAATCGAACATAGTCCGATGGGAGTGGTTCGTCCTAGACGTTTTTATTTTTTGTCTGCGGGGACCAAGGAGGGATTCCTTAAAGTCGAAAAAGTTGAAGACTGACGCCAGAAAGCGGAGAGCGCTTTGCCTAGTTTTTCCGACCGCCTTTTAGCCCGGCAGAGCTCGAAACGTCGCACCCGATCAGTTTGTCCGCCCATCGACTCTCCTTCTCTTTCTTGCTTCTCAATCCTTTGCGTGCAACCTTCTAACCCTCCCTTCTGTAGTCTGTTGCCGAAGGTCAGTCAGGTCCCTGTCGATCCAATTGACCCCTCATTTGGGTCTTCTTTGAATTAACTCTCGGACTTTCAGCTCTTATCGCCATGGCCGACTCCAACGAATCCCAGCCGGTCGCACCGGTCCCACGCTCCACCAAGCCCGTCAGCGAGGCCCTGCTGAACGAAAAGGTACTTTGCACCACCATCTGAAGTTCCCATCGATCACTTTGTTCCGTCTGGATGTTGAATGTTCTGTTGGCTGGGCCTGCCATGGAGCCGCCGGACCTCTCCGCCCTTGCCATCCGCAAATTGCAACTGCGGGACAGACGCACATATGTCATCGGGAAGTGTAGTCAGTAGTGCTCGGGCTAATACGGAACTTCTCAATGCACAGTGGGATCGCGCCATCTCCTCCCTCATCATCCGCTCTTCCCTCGGTCTCTCCTTCGGTGTTGTCTTCTCCGTGCTCCTCTTCAAGCGGAGAGCTTGGCCCGCGTGGGTTGGTCTCGGCTTCGGTGCCGGACGTGCTTGGGAGGAAGCTGATTGTACGTTCATGCAATTGCATTCAACCCCTTCTCTTCCAATGCCGGAGGGAACTGTTTAAGCTAACTTCCTACAGCCTCCTTCCGTCGGGGCGACTCTCCGGTCAGAGATGCCCTGCGTAGGTAGAGTAGCTCGGGCCTCCATTTCTGTATGATACCTGTATAGCTGGGAAGGAAAACGAGCTGCATCAAGAACATCTTTCGTCGTGTTTGAAATGGTCTCTCTAGACTTTTTCCTACTTTAGCATTCAATTCATCGTTGTGCTACCACTTCTAACTGTCTTTAAGGCATCTGTAAAGCTGCTTTGATAGTAGCTATTCGTTAGCAATCAGGCCCGTCATGCGACCACATTGTAAGACTTTTGGGCTTAGTTCTCTCCAGGTTACTGCATTCGGTCTAGACCAGAGTCGCTCTTGCGATAACTCTGCGGATGTCTTGACATCAGTATAGAACGAATGAAAATAATAGAGGAATAAGGGCTCATAGAGCTTGGGGAGGAGATTGGTCCGTGCGTTTGCGACTCTAGACAAACCTAGGTAATGGCTGAGGAATATATACAACAATAGAGAGGACGGAAAGACTTTTGTATCCTCTATCATCCAACATCTATGAGCAAGGGGTATCATGAACAAGTATCGGTCATCCGAGTGAGAACTTGATCGCAGGAAAAGCAAGGGAAGGGCATAAGGGTGGAAAGATGGCGGAGTCGCATTGCATCCCAATGCAAATAAAAGGTGGGGAACTACAGCATAGAGTTCGAATGAGCGACAAAGTTATCCATCACGGGCATCTGTGACGTGCTGTGACCTGTAGCATCCATGGAGAAACCTGGTAGGTTCATGTGGTCCCAGTTGCCCTCGGGCATGGCGGGCTCAAGAGGCAGTCCGTTGTGTCCACTGTGGGTAAGACAGCCAACACAGGTACAGTCACTTCCGCACTGGCAGCTTCCAGTTGTATCCGAGCAAGCGCTAGGTAGCCCCACTGGGTACTCGAGAGTATAGTACTCTGACGGTACCATCAGTTGCTGTCCTAGATAATCCGCAGGCGGAGATGAATAGCCATTATTTACGTGACCTGAGTCCGCACTCTGTTGGGCATATGTATGCATTGCGACGGGGTGAAAGTTGTCGCCCAGAGGATTACCGAAGTTGGCGAAGGAATACTGTAATGATGAGAAGTCCGGGGGTTGGCTCTGCGAAGGGGAGCCTCTATGGCTGTTCAGCCTGTCGGGGCTCTGATCATCATCATTGAGGGCCACCAGGAGGCCCATCTGTTGGACATGCTGTCTAGTAGTGTTGTTGAAGGGGTGAGATGCGCAACCCAGACATTGACAACCATCGCCACAGCTACAATCATGGGAGGCTTCGCCAGCAGGATTTGCTGGATTTGCAATAGCATTCTGCGTGTCCTCCGACGTCGGCTGAGAAATCTGATTGTTGAAGATCTCATAATTGTTGAACGCATGCGGATGCTGAAAGTCTAGTGGTCTAGTATGAAAACCTGCGGCAGGTCCAGCCATTGGCAGATAACCGGACTCGGATATGGGCAATGCGAAAGGCTGCATGTACTGGCTCTGCTTCGCTGCTTGGAAATCTTGCCACGTCGAAACCTGGGGAATAGAGTTCGGTGTGTATCTTGCATGATCACTGTCGAAGGCTGGAGGTTGGAAGTGATCATAACCGCTGGGAGTGCTGTCCTCCTTCTCAACATCTTGTGCCGCCGAATCGGACTTCCTACAACAGGAACGTTGGACTGCAGGAGCTGGAACATCCGGAATTATAGTTTGTGAGGGCTGAGACTTGCGAGAGCAACAGCTGCCGCCCTGCGGCGCCTTCTCTTCGCTGGCGCACTCGAAGGTCTTGTGCGAGGGGTTTGGTTCTTGCTTGATGATATCATATGAACTGCACGAACGCTGTTCCTGAGCCGAATAAGGAGATGGTCGGCCCAAATTTCCATGTTCCAATTGCTGGCTTCCGAATTTTGGTATGGAGTTCAAGGCTTTGGTAAGGTTCTCCGGGGCCGTCTTGATCTGTCGTTTGATGGGTTTCTGGATTTTGTTGGGAGCAGCAATCGGCATCGGAGGAGCAGAAATGGGAGTGGTTGAAGCAGATTCCGCCGCATCGGCAGGCACTTGGTACACTGGTCTACACAAGCAAGTTGAGCCTACATGACACAGTCAAAGTCAGTCACCGAAGACGCGACTATGACACTGTAGGATAGACGATAGGTCGTATCCGTCGCATATACCCACCTTTAGGAATGCGAATCATGAACGCATATAGCTTCTGGCAGCTGCAAGTTCCCTTCGGATGAGGGCATCTAGCAAGCGGTCGTCCGGCCTTTGGGACCTTCATCATCATCCTATCGAAGTGCTGGCATTTTGAGGACCGATGGCCACGGATACATGGCTCACTAGTGGAAGCGCATCTGATTAGCAGAGAGCCTATTCACCGGCGGAGAGTCATACCATGACCACTTGGCCCCTTCTTCATCGAGAGGCATGATAACGAGCCAAAAACAACATCAGCCGAGAGTGTGCTGAATAGTGAATCCAAGGGAGGGCCTGAGCTTTCAGGTGAGATCTAAGTGTGCGAATTGGCCTTACCCCGCCCGTAGGTCTGATCGTACCACGGCCGCAAGCAGGCTTTCGTAAGGACTCAGTTGATCACAAGAGAAGAAAAGAAAAGAAATGAGCAGGGTGTTAGAGACAGGTAATAGCAATGCACATCTACCGAGAAAACAAGTTGTTGTCCCCCCGAAGCGAAGGCGGACCAGGATGCACCACAAGTGGAATGACAAAGAGAGGCTGGAACGGGTTGGACAAGCGACGGATTCGAACGAGCGCAAAGGTTACCCGGTGGGATGGATTCCAGAGGCGGGGAAGAGACGAAGGACAACCCGGCGAGGCCGAGGGATTGCAGCTCGGGATGAGGAAGAATGCTGCAGTATGTAATTACAACCCCGCAGGAAGTTGAATAATTAGTATTGCTGAGAGAATGCCGTGGGTGGTCAAACCGAGAGAAAGGTGGTGGAGGTCTCCGTTGCCGTCCGAACGGCGGAGCAAAACTTAACGATAAGCCGATAAGAGAAATTCAAATCCAACGCATGGCAGCCCGTTTGCAACCTCAGGCAGCATAATCATTCTCTCTGCCTGAGGCATACAAAAGGGTGCTTCTGCGCGGGCTTGGCGGCCGGAGATTATCAGCCGGCGAATAACAAGATCAACTGAACTCAACTAGAAAGCTGGGCGAGAAACGGTTCTGTCCCTCTGTTCATCAGAAAAACCTACATCGACCTCGGGTCTTCTAGCTGGCCTTGTCGCCAATTTCCCGGCATCCATAAAACTGACATTTCAGTTCTACCGTTCTCTTTAATACCACAGTTGCGCAATCCCCTCCCTCCCTCCCTCCATCCATCCAATGACCCCCGAACACCGTGATGTCCCCGGCCAGACACCGGACAATGTGAGCACGGTGTCGCGCGCTCGAGACTTCTTCTCCGTTCCGGCACCAATCAAGCGCATCTTCGACCGTTTCCCCCTCGTCACCTACCCCTCCAATGATCTCCCGCATTGCGCATGGTCCGACAAACGTGGCAATCGACTGTATGTTTTCACCGATGCCGCAAGTGCCAGGCATGGCAGACCGTCGTTCAACCCGCAGTGTCTCAAGTGGCAGGTACGTAGTAGGAAATGCAGCTTTGCGCCACTTCCAAAGTACATCGCTAACCTGAAACCTCTCCCCGTGCCTTTAGGCATACTTAAGATTCGTTGGGATCGACGTCGACGTGATTCCTTCCAACAACCATGCATCTCCCTCTGGCGCCCTTCCTTTCCTAATCCCCGCCCACCCCATCAACAACAACGCCCCTATTCCTTCCAGCAAGCTCCAAAAATGGGCCATCGAGCAAGTTCACTGCGAAGAGGAGCAGCAGTTGGATCTGCGCTTCGAGGTATATGCGTCGTTGCTGGATCACCGGATACGAAATGCTTGGGTGCGTTACGGTCCCCCCACCCCCCGGAATCCATTGTCGATGGATGAGTTTTGACTGACTTAATTTGCGCCGGGGCAGCTATATACCCTATACCTGGATCCCGAGGAATTTGAGGCCGTTGCTCGACCTTTATACGTGGACCCGTCTAGTACGAATTCCGCCGTGCGGACCGCTCTCGCGCTGCAGCTCCAGCAAGCTGCCCGGACAGAGATCCTAAAAACATCATCTTATATAGATGTGGGCGCCTTGGAGGCCGAGGCTAATGACGCATTCGAGGCACTGTCTACGTTACTGGGCGATAACCTGCACTTCTTTGACCGACCGAATCCGGGTCTGTTCGATGCTAGTGTTTTCGCATACACACACCTGATCTTGGAGGAGAAGCTAGGGTGGCAACGGAACCGGCTGGGACAATTGCTGCGCCAACACGAGAACCTTGTACAACATCGTGACAGACTCCTCAAATTCTTCTAGACGGATGGATTTGTGAAAGAATCCTCTAATTTTACTGTACAATAACAACTTATATGTGTCAATGCTACCCGACTAGAATTGGAACAGGCCTCCGCCTTGAAGGAAATCCGTCACAGTCTTCTACCCCGATCAACCCGTTTGGACAAGATCCGGTCAAGCAATATCAATACTGTAGGAAACAGATTGGCAAGTCTTTGTCTATGTCCCTTCCAGTGGCTGGACCGGTAAATCACTAATGGTACTAGTAAGGAGGTAAGATTCTACGCTAGCCAATGTCAATTTCCGCGTATCGGAGAACAATCCGGGACATACAGGCATTACGTCGGCTTGACCCTCACACACCGACCGGCTCGGCATTGACGGAGGCAGTAATAGGATGAAACCTTTACAAATTGAATGCGCGAACCCGCTTGGGTCTTCTCTGTATTTGGATGGCATAATTGGCGTCATCGAGACACAGATACCATGAATTAGCCATCACGACCAGGGCATCATGCATTACTGGCAGAGCTTGTCTCCCCATCCCCATACGCTTTGGAAGTTGTGGTCAGTTCTCCCTGCCCATATATTGGGGCAATGAACTCCTGGCTCTCACTTCTCTCATAGTCTCTCTGAATCTCCGTCTTCTTTGTGATTCCACCTATAGTCCAACTGTGGCGGTGCAATTCGAAGTTCGATGCATAACTTTGCTGTGTCTTCGTTGACCAGCTCGTGGGAAACTGAGGGCCAAGCTTGAAAAGTTTTCGCAGAGAAGGAAGAGACCCTGACATTAGGCCCAGGTTGAATTCAATCTCCATCCAAATGAGGGACGTGGAGGCTGAGTCTGGGAAAAGTCAGTAACCTATCTTCTGCCCACTTGAAGGAAAATTATACAGGTGAAATTGGTCGTATCATTGGCAAATTTTAATGTCGAGAAACGCACGAGGGCAGCAACACATGCGGTAAAACCTGCATGATAATGAGTTATTGGACTTTTGAATTCTTTCAAAAACTCACCAATGCAGAGTAGCCCCAGCACAAGTATTCGTCTCCTTATCGGCATCTGCAACTGCCAGATAGGCCGTATCGGAAGTACTAGGATCGATACATCTAGCACGAACATGATGACACCTTGCATCATAAGAATTGCGTACGAGGTCTCAGTGGGATAGCAGCTCGAATTGCTGATAGTCTTGTCGTAGGCCGCTTGGACAGGACGACATTGAAAGACCAGCGCGAGGGTCCCCGAAAGGGTGAAGGCCGCGATGATACCAAGAAGGGCTTTCCCGGCAATGTGGACGAAGCGAGTCGGAAACAGACGCATTATAAATATGAGCAGGCTCGTTTTCACAGTTGCTGCAATGACTAGGTAGGCGCATGGCGAGGCATATTCGAGCTGCAAAGATCAGTTTTGTTAAAAGCTATGGCCTCAAGGTACGAACCGTGAGGAAGACAACCAGATGGTCTTCAGGAACATATTTTAATGGCCGACCCAATCCATAGTACGTTATGATATACGCCAAGGCAGAGAACAGATCCACTCCGATCTAGTCAGTCAGTTATCAGGCGCAGGGAAAATTACCGGCTGCGTAACTCACAAGAGCAACGAGCACCAACCAGTCATCAAGCCCGAAATTGTTCAGAACGAACTTGCGCATATACAGCTACAACAGCTCAGTCATTGTGGCCTCCATATGGCTTGCAGGAGTATCGAGAAAACATACTCGAAGCACACACACCAAGGTTGTGGGAACCGCCAGCACTAACACAATGATCCGCACCGCGATGGTTATGGACGATGTTGGCACATCGTCCTGTTGCTCGATAGACCCACCCATCCTAACCGGCTCTCATGCACCAAAGCAGAGGTGGTCATCAGGATGCATCGAGAAGAGAGAGAGCAGAAGCGGGGGGGATGCCATCATTTCTAGGGTATTTGTCGGGGGTGCTGTGGACCACGAAGGAATGCAAGTCAATGATGCCAATGCTCTTAACGTACAAATGAAACAGGGATCTGGGATTATCAGGCTCCAAATTCGAGGCTTGTCAAACATTAACAGGGGTCTGAATCCTGGTCGCAGGATCGCTCAAGACACCGGCGCAGATAGCGTCTAGTCGGTTCCGAGCCGATATCCACCATCCGGATCACGGAATTGGGGGTAGAAGCCTTCTTCTCGGTCTTCCTTGCCATTCTTTTCTTTTTCACTTCCTCAAATTTTGGCTTGTGACAACTACCTGCATTTATAGCTCGTGCATAGATCACACAATGGCTGCGGTAGTCACGGAGATCGTCGCCAACGCCTGCCATCTAGAGCAGGAGAAGGTCACGCATATAGAGACCCTCTTATCGCGATTTGACAGCCTGTCAGCTGCAGAGCAAGACCAGGAACGAGCCTCTTACGTTACCACCGTCTTCCCCCTGTTCTTTGGCGCAGCTGCCGTCGTGCACGGGTCCAATGGCTATGAGCCGCAGCGTATAGTTCCCTGGTACGTCTATACTTTCGGATCGACCACCAAAGGAATGCCTTTACCAACCACCACAATCCGGTCAGGTCTACCAATTGCTGGCTTCAACCTCGGGTAATCGTCCGTCCAGGATCTGCCCAACAAGTTGCAGCTGCGTTGGCGCTGTGCCGCTTTTTCCACGTCAGGTTCTCCATCCGGGGTGGGGGCCATTTGCAGATTCCGGGCTTCACTAGTAACCAGGACGGCGTGGTCATCTCCTTGGGAGCATTTAATCAAGTCCGGGTGGCTGAAAACAAATCTACGGCAGGTATTGGCGTCGGATTGAGATGGTTGGAAGTATATCGCCGTCTTGAACAACACGGGGTGGCGGTTGCAGGAGGAAGAGTGCCTTCCGTTGGGGTTTCCGGCTTGTTGCTCGGCGGCGGCATCTCCTTCCAGAATAGTCAGTATGGCGTGGGTGCCATGGGCGTCTGCAACTACGAAGTTAGCATTTATTTCCTCTTTCCGTACCCATGAAAAAAAAAAAAAAAAAAAAAAAAAAAAAAAAAAAAAAAAATAACAGCATTTAACAATTATTGAGCAGGTTGTCCTCGCCAATTCGCAAATCATCAATGCCAATGCCCGCGAAAACCCCGATCTATTCTGGGCCCTCAAGGGTGGCGGGCCGAACTTCGGTAACTATACCACCTACCATTATCAAGCTTCATGACTAGCAACACCAGCATATGCGGTCTTCGTACTATCTAGCAGCGGATTCCTAACTCGACGTTTTGCAGGCATTGTTACCAAGATCGAAATGAACACCATCCCCAACCAAATATGGACCGAAGTTCGTATCTATCCCCTCACGGCAGCCGACCAACTGCGCGCCGCACTGATGCAATACCACGATGCCATTGAAACCGACAACAAGGCATCTCTCATCTGGAACGCTACCAACGACATCATTCTCATCGTCTATGTTTACTGCGCGCCCATCGAGAATCCTTGGGTCTTCCAGGCCTTCTACGACATACCTCATTTCACTAGCTTCGTGCCCCCGGGTATCCGCACCGTCTACGATCTAGTCCAGGCCGTGGCATCCGTGAATGAAGCTGAGCCTACTGTGTATGTCATATCCTTGAAGATTCTACCAAAGGAAGAATGCCAATTTAGCAACTCTCACAGCCATGAGTTCCGCACCATGTCCAGCCGCCCTAGTTTAGAAGTCTACAAGGCCATCGAACAAGCTCACGCTGAGCAAGCAGAAGCTCTCAAGGACGTAGAGGGCATCGCCTTGACGACCGTCATTCAGCCTATGTCGTCATTCGCCATGAGAGAATCGCTTAAGAATGGCGGAAGTCCTCTAGGTCTGGAGCCCGTTGGACAGCAGTGTACGTATACCCACAAGAAAGAAGATGTCTTGCGTTTCCTCCTGGTAGCTAATAAATCTATTTTTGCGTACAGGGTTCCTCGCCCGAGCAGACTGGAAGAACATCCAAGATGAGGAACGGGTGCGCGAGGCAGTGCGCAAAATCGTGGATGCGGCGGAATCCGCGGCAAAACGGACGGGTGTGTATCTCCCCTACAAGTATTCAAACTATGCGGCGTGGGACCAGGATCCGTTGGCGAGTTATGGTGCGGAGAACGTAAGACGATTGAAGGAGGTGGCGAGGAAGTATGATCCCGAGGCGGTCTTTCAGACATTGCAGAATGGGGGTTGGTTGTTGAGTAAGGTTGGAATGGAGTAACTAGATAGGGGTCATGAATAGCCAGGTAGGTGGGTAGATGATAGACTGTACATATGGAGGTAGACATTGTACGAGAGATTGTGGTTTCCATAGCGATGTGGTCAGAAAGTTTGGCTCAGAAGTTGCCGAAGCTCGGATCTAAGACATGCATTGGCCCCAGGCATGGATCACACTACTCGGCAGCAAACTATTGTCATTCATAAAAATTCATTCAGGGTCGCATAAGATTATAAAGACATGGTCGGAACGTGACACATGGGACATCAGGCGGATGCATGAGTCATATAGGAAAGGCATTGGACAAAAAGTGAGGGAAGAAACAGGATAGAGGCTGTTGTGCCGGATGCATAGACCGTACCAGACGGGAAAGGCTGAAGAGAAAACAAGACACAAAGGAAATAGAGGAACAAAGGAACAAAGGAAAAAGAAGATTGAGGATATCAAGAGAAAAAAAAAACCATTAAAGAAAAAGAACCCCAGCCATGATACCGTTATCCATGCACGCTCAACATAAACAAAGATATTCAGAACCCAATGACGCTCGTAAAACCGCTAATAGACTGTTGCTCCAAAGGGTGCTGTTTCTTTCAAATCTTCGACCAGATCCTCCACATTGTTCAAATACCGGCCCAATAATGCTTGCTTCTCGTCAGTCGTACGTGTATCCCGATGCGCCTTTCCGCCGCTGTGGGCACCGGGGACATTAACACTCCGGGAGACCGGGGAAACACTAAGTTTACTTGGACTCCGTTGATGTCCAAGGACTGCCGTATTGGGCGCGCTCGCTGCGCTAGTGGGGATCATCGGTGTTTCCGGCATCAGGTAGAAGTACAGAAATTCGACGAGTTTGAGCTTGACTTCACGAGATGTTGCACGTTGCTTGAAAAGCGAGGTCACCGTAAGCAGTCCGTCAAGTTCCTCGAAAGTGCGCGTGTTGGCGGGGTGGTCCAATAGAGCCGTGACCAAGGTGAGAAGGGTCGCAGACTGGATGGCGGGGCAGTTGATTGGATCGAGGAGGTCCAGCAGTAGATTCATGTAGATTTCGCGCGCGAACAGTGTGCGCGATGGAGGGTGGAGGAGGAGCACGCCCTGTATCAGATCGAGTGTGGAGACGATGAGAAGGTCATTGGTGCCATTGCTCCCCCGCCCAAGCAGGTGTTCGAGACATGTCACCAAGCGCATTGCGACTGGTTGCAGTGCATTAGTGTTGGGGACTCACATATAATCGTGCGTCGGCGGATATAGCGACACTTACCATTCCATTGAAACCCCTCCTGAAGTTTGAAAAATTCCCTGAAGGCCGGATCATCTCGAAGCTCGGCCAAAGATTTAGGCACCGGTTGCGGAGCCCCAAACGACAAAAGAGAGCGCCGTTTGTCAGACGCCGGGCGTTTCGTCTTGGATAAACAGATCTGTGCGAGGAGCCCTTCGACCTGCCGCAGCCCTTTGCGAACTTTGCTTGGTTCGTAAGAGGAAAGGTAGTCGAACGAGTGTGCCAGCAAAGCCTCCATGAGTAATACAAGGGCAGAGATGATGAGTAGCACGGCTATTTCCAGAAATAACAGGGAAATAAAGGAAATAGGTTGCAGGTGAATGGAAAACGGGGGTGAAAAAGAAAAAGACGGGCCGTGATCTGTCAGTCGCAAAGGACCCTGGGCCAAGAGATACGGCGCTATCTATATGTAGTACCTTAACTTAGAGAGAGGAGCCAGAAAAATAAATCGAACACGGCTGAGCCCAGGCGCTTGGAAAATGGGGGCCTCAATTAAAGGCTACAATGATTGGTGAGCGATAGTCGGTGGGCTCGATCAACTAGCGAAGAAATAGTTGTTGTCATCGTGTGAAGCTGATCGAGCCGATTTAGATTCGGTCACTGGCCAGCCTTAGTGACTGCAGCTCCCCCACATCCGACACAAACACCCGATGGTTGTCCCGGAGACGCACGATCGTGTTCCAATAGGCGTGCTACATTCGACGCCATGAAGAACAGGATCTCCTTGATAGCCTTCAGCTAATGATGTCAAGAAAGGGGATCCATTTTTCAGCTACGCCACCAAGTCAATCTCTGGCCAAGATAAAGGGCCTGAAGGTCATGAATAATGCCGTCACCCGTTGGGTTGCAAGAGTTTCTTGAAGAAGTCGGTCAGTATGAGAACCAACACGGAAGCAGTCTCCAGAGCATGGAATGGGTGTTTACCGGCCCACCGACCGTGCCCACGACAACTACGAGTAACTTGCTGCTCGTGGCTGGTGCAACCACTCAAACGTCACCACCCCTTGCAGGCGGTAAGAATTGAAAATTCCGTCACACTCGTCACACTGGGAAATCACACTGTCACCGGATCGGAGTTTCCCAGTTTCGCCGACATGTGAGTCATGTGACCTCAACGGGAGAAAGCTACGGCAATGCATGTGATGCTCCTCGTCATTTGGCCGATTTCCCCGCAGCAGAAGTTCTCTTTTGAGAGAGCCTTGTGCAGCCTGCAATATACCCTTTCAACTTGGTTACTTCTTTTGCCTTCATTCTTATGGGACACGGACCTTATTTATTGCGGCTGTGCCCTTCTTCCTGATTACCTGTAAGATGGGCTTGCTCACTCCTCCCCTTTCTCACGGTTGCCTGGCTGTTACAGCATTGCCCGCTCGCCAAAAACCTCCCCCTCTCTGTTCGTGACGAGACCCAGCAATCACCCCCGTAAAACACGCAAGCGATTAACACTCAAACCATGTCTGCAGGACCGGTTCCTGAAATTTCTGCTAGCGGACCTCCTCATCCCGAATTGTATTTTCTCGCAGGTAGTTCAATTGACGGCACAGGCGCAGCTAGCCTGGGGAAGCCAGATCTCCTGGTGAGTCCGGCCATGGATCACGCAAGCTCAAACGATGATGGGCTCGCCACAAACACGAACCACTCGCGCATGCGCAATCGTAATCGCTCCAGCGTCGATGGAACCAAATACAAAGATGGACAATGGTCGCCTGAAAATGAGAGAATTGTTATGGGGCCGTACGACTATATGCTACAGCACCCCGGCAAGGACATACGGCGGCAGCTTATCAACGCCTTCAATATGTGGTTGAAGGTACCTCCGGAGAGCCTTTCAATCATCACAAAGGTGGTGGCCATGCTTCATACTGCATCGTTACTGTAAGCTCTCTACATCATGCCTCGGTTTAGTCTGGACACCTACCTGACCTATGTCGTATGAGCCAGGATCGATGATGTCGAAGACAACTCCATTTTGCGACGAGGTATCCCAGTAGCCCATAACATATACGGCACCGCGCAGACCATCAACTCTGCGAATTATGTATATTTCCTCGCTCTGCAAGAGGTGCAAAAGTTGAACAACCCCGCTGCGATTGACATCTACGTTCAAGAGTTACTGAACCTACACCGCGGTCAAGGAATGGATCTCTTCTGGCGTGATACCTTGACTTGCCCCAGCGAGGACGAATATTTGGAGATGGTCGGCAACAAAACTGGTGGTTTGTTCCGACTTGCAGTGAAATTAATGCAGGCCGAAAGTAGCTCCGGCAAGGACTGCGTGAGCCTTGTCAACGTCATGGGACTGATTTTCCAAATCTGCGACGACTATCTCAACCTGTCCAACACTACGTACACCAAGAACAAAGGTCTTTGTGAAGACCTCACGGAGGGAAAGTTCTCCTTTCCCATCATCCATAGTATCCGCTCCAACCCCGGAAACCATCAGCTCCTCAACATTCTCAAGCAAAAGACGAAAGATGAAGAAGTCAAGCTGTATGCAGTCAGTTACATGGAAAGCACTGGCAGTTTCGCGCACACGCGGGACGTGGTCCGAGAATTGCGAGCCAAAGCACTGACCCTCATCCAAGCGATCGATGGTGATCAAGCAGATGGACGTGAGGACGGCGCCATGGTCCGAGCGATCCTCAACAAGATCACCGAATCGACACTGGGGGAGTGTGGTCCCCAGTAAGTTCAACGGACGATGATCAAGCGTCCATGCTCGGAGGTTATTCACCGCCATCCCTGGTTGGTTGGTTGGTCGATTGCATGGGACCTCGTATTTATTATGCAGGATGTTGAAACGTGATACCTTTTAGCCTATTAATCAGATTGCCTTGTGATCTGAAACATTGCACTCATGGAGACTCTTAATACGAACTTTGATTTTCTTCTTTGCTTCTTTTTTTTTTCCTTGTCTTCTAGCCCGTAACAAAAAGAAACCAGAACATGTTAATCACCGTCTAGATAGTACCAAATCCAATACACAGCCCCGGGGTATATGTTGTCTTCCGCCAAATGCCCAATTGCGCGAGAAGTCCAATGATCGGTCGTGTCTGCCCACGCACCCTTCTCTGTCTATACCAATCACACATCAGATCGTATCATATATAGGCCAAAAAGTTACTCTTTTGCCAAGGATTGTTATGTATCCAAACGCGAATCTCTCTTCACATGACCACACAGCAAGCCTTCTCCAGCTTATTAAGGATCTTAGGCAGAACCGCATTGACCACCTGCTCGATCTCATCTTGATTACCCGCACCCTGTTGTTGCTGCTGTTGCTGCTGAGAACCAGAATACTGCTGCTGTTGCTGTTGATGCGGGTGAGCATAGGTGCCCGACGAATGCTGCTGCTGCTGAGGGTATTGCTGATAGTGAGGATGATTGGGCGTAGGGGCAGTCTCCATATCCGCCGGTCCACCAGTCAGATTCACATAAATGCGCCCAGCGTTTTCCTCAGTCGCGTACTGAAGACCAAGTTCCTGACAGACTTGCTCTACTCGGGGCTTGATTTTCTGGATATGGTTGGCCGAGTGGTTTCCTTTGCCGACGATCCTATTGAATGGCAGAAAGTTGGATGATTAGCGATATGTGTCGAGAGTAAGGAAGAAGCCTGTGTAGTGTGTAACGTGAAAAGGAAGCTTACACATGGAGATGATCCTGACCGTGCGCTTTCGCATACTTGATCCTCTCCTCTAGGATCTCCTCTGCCTCTTCGACAAATTGTCCGTGCAGATCGATGGTGTCTGCCGCAACGCGCCCGTTGGCGTTGTTCTCACGGAAGATGAACTCCGACGCTTGCTTGTTGTATTCTTCCATCTTGCGACCGTGGGCTTTGCCTTGTTCGGAGAGCTCTTTGGCCTTGGCGCCATCGCCGCTGGAGTAGGCTTCCTGGGACTGACCATTGAATACTGGTTAGTTGTTTGTTCCTCTCTAATTTGGCGAGTGGTTGGGTGGTTGCGGTAGTGGTTGTCAATGGCGTACCCGTTGGAAACATGAGTTGCGCTTTGAAGCTTCTTGTCGGGCTAGGTTGCGTAGACGGTCGTATTCGGCCTCTGCATCTTGGCTCTGATCGTGACTGAAGGCTTCGGTAACGGTGTGGTTAGTTTATTGTGAGATTGTGGCTATGAAGGTCGGAAGGGATCTTACCCCGAGGGCCCATGTAGGACATTTCATGCTCATGCATTTTGACGAAAAGGGGTGTCTAGCGAAAGATACAAGTTGCAATGATAACGACGGGGTGTATCTGCGACGAATAGTCAATCCGTACGGGTATAGTCTGTATGCGATGTCCTCGGTCGCAAAAAAAAAAAAAAGGTGTAGCGCAAAGGCGAGGCTGTGAAGGAAGGCCGATCGCGCGAGTGGATGTTGGAGTCCCTGAGAGATGGATGGATCGGGGATTGGATCCGTGGATGGATCAGTGGAGCGGCGATCGGATTGGCCGATGAGCCAGCCAGGGATCGTGGACGGAATCGCACATGAAAAAGGCTGGGCTGGATTGGAGATCCATGGTCTCCTCAATTCATTCTTAGATAACTTCATGCGGTAGGCGACAATCTAGTTAGTTATCGGGTTGGAGTTGAGCGTCTTACTCTGCACGGTCTTCCTCAATTTTTCCTTCGTATTGACGGGATGCACGGTCAGCCATCCCCATCACGAGTTACAACGGACTGGGACACTTTAGAAGACTGTCAGCCCATTTCCGAGCTTACTGAGGATCCTGCCGACCATCATCATCCACCAATCCTTTACCCATTCGGCATCCTTGCAGCTGGACCCAGAACTCATCATCATCATCATCATCATCATCATCACCTTTATCAGTTACTGCTCAGCACTGACCGTATTCCGCATTCCTCCCAGGCTATACGACCGAATTAGTAAAAGCGTCTACATAATAAGGTGTCTACGCCAAGGTCACCAAGCCAGTGAAGAGTGGAAACCAAGTCAATAGTCCGGCCATGCTCCATGCAAAGATGGGGATAAGTCCATTTCGAGCTGCCTTCTTAGGTTATCGGTCGACAGCGGCAGGAGTTCTCAATTGAAAGTATAAGCAGTCGCGACCCTCCAGGGGATATACTAACTATGTATAACTTGAGTGATTCATCATAATTAGTAACTGGCTATAACCCAGAATGGTAGGAGAGGACATGTCAGGCAGCTCGCCACGAGGCCCTTCCCCCAGTCAAAGGGGTGAAAGATGTGATGTGATGGTAAGGAGACGGCAATCATCATGAATAATAGCGTGTGCGGTAAAAGCAAGCGACTAAGGCGACTAGACAGTGGAGAAGTTGGTCTCTAGTCGAGTTGCAGAACCACGGATTTCGGTTACCGACTTCCATTCCAGCAAGCAGCATCTGAGCAGATTCATCTTGCACGATTCAGGCGGGTCGTTCCGTCTGTGCATGTCCGGTGGCCATGGGAGGCAGCAGTGGCTGAATCCTCCTTCATCCATGGGAAGTTGTTGTCACAGCATGAGCTGTTGCGATGGAAGAAGTACATACTAAAACCAAGAGGTTGCCACTGGACGAAACCACAAGCGTGTATCAGACGATATGATGAACAACGAATGGGTCTTTGTGAATGCATGTTTCTCATCCATTTTCTCCCTTTTGTGCGGAGAAGCGATCGACGGGCAGTTGCAAGTGGAGTTTTACCATACGGTACCTGGCCGTAGGAACAGGAACGACAATATTCCTCCGTACGCTAATGCCCATCCCAATCTTGAGTCCATCCACCTTTTTTTTCCCTTTCCACATGGTAGTCTAGAGCTGCAGTAGTAGCCTCCGCTGGAATGCATTCTACCCCGTATATCATCACATCAGACATGCATGATTATTCCGCCACGTTTGATTCCTCAGAATATTCTGCCTATGAATAGACACAAACTGCGTCACTGGCTCTATCAGCTCAAGCCTCTCAAGACATTCTGGAACAAGCCAACCGACCGCGTAACTTTGTGTGATGGCGCGGTGTACCTGGCGATCGGGCGCTGAGCGTGCCGGACCTCCACCGCGTGGTGGGCACCTGAAACTGCAGGCGCCCTTCCAAGTTGCACCCTTACCAGATTTAGCAACGGTCGGCTACTGCGAACTGTGGACGATGTCTTCTGCTGCTGCTGTCGTTGTCGTTATTACTGCTGCAGGATTAGTCTAGCCCGTTACTGATGAGCAGCAGAGACAAGAGAGATCTGGGATGGATTTCGTCACCAGTGGAGGTCAGCGCTTAGTATGATTTGAAGAGTTTAAAAAAAAAAACGCCTGATGGGTTGGCTGTCGAATGGCATCCCGGTCGCCATGGCCATCTCCTACAGGTGCGTACTGCAGATCTGCGTCATCCGGAAATTAATTTCATGCAACTGAATCATTAATCATAATATCTACGGCAACGACAGCCTTGGAACTAGTTTGTAACTCTATATGGAATCTGGGTTTGGACCTCTTTGCTGTCCCATCACTGTATCATGCCTATCTGATGCTGCCGACTGGCAGTATCTATGACGCAGAGGATGGTGTGGTAGTAGATAGTACTGTTGTAGTTGTGTCTGGGATGGGCTTTTCGGGACTAAAATGTAAGAGACTATGCCTCTTCTGAACTGTGCTGGTCTTACCATCAGGAGAAGAATCCCAGTTGGAGCACAACAAACTTCGTACAGAGCAGACTCCTAAGTCAGAGAAGAGCCGGTCGTCGAAAAAGGGGAAGGCTACTCATCAGAATCGCAAGGCCATTGGATCGTGCTGGTTTTTCCTCCACTGCCACCCCTTACCAGCAGAGCCAATCAGCAGTCTATGACTGGGTCGCCATCGCATTTACCAAACGAGACGACTCCACTGCCCCTATTGAAGTGGTCCAGTCATCGTCACTCATAGGTTGGAACCGGGCCAGCTTATCGTTCCAGAAAAAAGCGGGAATGGTCAATGGCAGAAAGAAGAAGGAGAAAAAAGGGAAAAAAAGATTTATAAGAATTTTTATTGGGGAAAATCAAAATCAAAATCGAAAAAGAAGAGGAAGAACCTTTCCTCAGGCTTCACCCCCCGATACTCACTTGGTACTAGAATAGTTTACTAGTAGACTAGCAGCAAGCAGGTACCGGCAGCCGGTAAGTAAGTAGTAGTAGTAATAATAATGGAGTCGGCGTATCAGCCTGCTGCGTTCTCTCTAGTTCATCCCCTCTTCCTCAGACTTCCCCCCAATCAATCCCTCCTTTTCCCGGATTTCTGTCTGCTCTCCAGGCTAGTTCCCTCACACACGCTCTCTCGTTGCTCAACTTTTCTGGCACGCTCCCGGGACTGCCTCAGGATCTCATCTTGGCCCCTCTTTTTTCCGTTGCCCGACTCACTCACGCTGAAAGTCTGCCCCCCCTTACAACCTGTTGAGCTTAATCCTTTCCCTCCGGCCCTTCAGCCTCGCTCGCTTTACCCTCTCTCTCTCTCTCTCTCTCTTTTCTTTTCCCTTTCGATCTCTTGTCTCATCTATTCCCACACCCGCCCCCCTCCTCCTCTTCTTCTTCTTCTTCCTTTCTCCTCCTTTCAAACCCCAACTTTTTCACGGATCGGGATAGAACCAGCATCTCCCTTTGGATTCCCTGGGTTTACTTCGTCCATTTCTTTTCTCGATTATTTTACTTCTCCTTTCGCTATCCTCTTCAGTCCAATTTCTCTGGATTATCCTTGTTGGAATCACCGCGATTGGTGTATTTCCCTGTTCCACCTTCCTTTCGCCTCCTTTCCGCCTACTAGTCCCAGACGCTCCGCGCTTATATTTGATTTTTCCCCTGCCGCCCGTTCCTTTGCGTCCGCTTGGCCTTTAGTAATAATATCATTCCCGGCTTAATTCCATTCTTCACTTTCTCCTCCTCTCAGTTGGAGTTTGATATATCAAGTTTTCGAGCAAAGTGAGTGGCCCTTTTCACGTCGTTGTTCCCTTTTCCTCCTCGCGCTTCCTCTCTGCCCCGGAATCCCTCCCTCATGGTGGACGGTGCTCCCAAGCCTTCCAGTTGATGCATCAGCTGCACCTCCTTGCGTCAGCACGATCTCTGGGCCTGGGGGAGACTGCTGCCTTTTGGTTCTGATCCTCTTCCGACACTCAAAAATCAAATCGTGCATCGTTCATTCGATTGTTTTTCTTGGGGTGTCCGATAGTGGCTCTTACCCACGGTCGACGGGGCAAGGGGCTGGCCGGATCCCACTTTTACAATACACGGAGAATTCGCTTCCATGGCTGACTGACATCTTTCCCTGCGGACAGGCTCGTTACTCCTGACGTTCACTACCACCCGCCCACCCAACTCCGTCCCCCCGCCGCTACACATTAGACTTTTCACATCCATCACTCCCACGTTCATTAATCGCCGCCAAAATGGGTTGTGGAATGAGTACTGAAGACAAGGAGGGCAAGGCCCGTAACGAGGAGATTGAGAACCAGCTCAAGCGGGACAAGATGATGCAGCGGAACGAGATTAAGATGCTGTTGCTGGGTATGCGCTCTCTCTCTACTCCCGTACAGGTTTCGCGCCGGGACGCAAGATTAACGATGTCTTGAACAGGTGCTGGAGAGTCCGGAAAATCGACAATTCTCAAGCAGATGAAGCTGATCCACGAGGGCAGCTACTCCCGCGATGAGCGTGAGTCCTTCAAGGAAATCATCTACAGCAACACCGTCCAATCTATGCGCGTCATCTTGGAGGCTATGGAGTCGCTGGAGCTCCCTCTGGAGGATGCTCGCAACGAGTACCACGTCCAGACCGTCTTCATGCAGCCTGCTCAGATCGAGGGCGACAACCTGCCCCCGGAGGTCGGCAATGCCATTGGTGCTCTGTGGCGCGACAGCGGTGTTCAGGAGTGCTTCAAGCGGTCTCGTGAATACCAGCTGAACGACTCCGCCAAGTAGTAAGTGCCGCATCTGTCTCGGGCTCGTCAGGAGCCTCTGTTAACCGATTTCTTAGCTACTTCGATGCCATCGACCGTATCGCGCAGCCTGACTACCTCCCCACCGACCAGGATGTCCTCCGCTCTCGTGTCAAGACCACCGGTATCACCGAGACTACTTTCATCATCGGTGATTTGACCTACCGCATGTTCGACGTCGGTGGCCAGCGTTCGGAACGTAAGAAGTGGATCCACTGCTTCGAGAACGTCACGACGATCCTTTTCCTGGTCGCCATCTCCGAATACGACCAGCTGTTGTTCGAGGATGAGACCGTCAACCGTATGCAGGAAGCGCTTACCCTGTTCGACTCCATCTGTAACTCCCGGTGGTTCGTCAAGACTTCTATCATTCTCTTCCTGAACAAGATCGATCGTTTCAAGGAGAAGCTGCCCGTCAGCCCTATGAAGAACTACTTCCCCGACTACGAGGGTGGTGCCGATTACGCCGCCGCCTGCGACTACATCCTCAACCGCTTTGTCTCTCTCAACCAAGCCGAGCAGAAGCAGATTTACACTCACTTCACATGTGCTACGGATACCACACAGATCCGTTTCGTCATGGCCGCAGTTAACGGTATGTGCCGCACACTCATCGAACCGTTTCATGCTCAGATACTGACTCTCATTAGACATCATCATCCAAGAAAACCTGAGACTGTGTGGTCTGATCTAATGACCGGTATATTTCGCTCGAGTGAGAACTTCTCGACATTTAGACCGTATGCTATGTGACTTGTAATCTTGTCTGTTTTGCTTTTTGCCATACCATGTCGCACTCTGTTCTTTTTATTCCTCCCTTTTGAGAGATCCTGGCGTTGAGACATTCACTTGTCTATTTTACTAATTCCCTATTTCCTTTGTCTTGAAATGATATCTAGCCGGCTCTTTGTTATCAGCATTACCGATATCCATCCCATGACACAGAGCAGGAGTTGTTTTACCTTTGCACTTTCTATTCTGTTTCTCTTCTCTGTGAGCAGCGGGTCATCTGTGGTTCCATCGGAATTTATAGATTTATCAGAGCCCGTGCTTGCGTGTCTTCTTTTCTCCTTTATTTACTTATATGGGATTCCCGCGTCGTTTTCTGGTCCACCTCCCTCCGTGTTCGCGTTACCCTCCACCCCCTCTTTCCGCTTTTCCTTTTTTCTTCCTGTGTCTTTCCCCAGCTGGATATCCCATCATCTCTTGGTGCCCCTCGTCCGCAATTCTGTGTGTAACCATATATCACGCATTCTTCCATATGGGTCTCACGTACATTGGAGGGCAATGAACGACGACAAGGCCACGGGCACGGGAGATTGACAGGGTACGCTGAATATCATGTCTTTTCCTCATGTGTCATGCCGGGTCGGTCATTGGGTTATAGTCAGAGTTAAGGATTGTGAAATATATTTTCTGTTCAAAATGTGTTTTCGCGTAGAGTCGGTGTACATTAGAAGAACTAATAAAAGTTTTTAACAATATTTTATCAATTATCTGCATGTATCTACACCAAATATCCAGGTTCTAGGCCCAGGTCCAGCTTCAATATCCGCCCAGCGGATAATAATACTATCTACTAACTAGTGGTACTCGGCACTCCCTCCCTCCCCAATGGACACTCACATTCCCCAGAAAAGATCAAAACCTCAGCTTCGGCCCCAAGAACACAATCAGAATAGCTACCAGCCACATCCCAAAAATCCACGCATACAACATCATCCGTCCCCACCAGCCCTTCCCCTCCGTCATCCTCCGCAACATGCCCATACGCTGCTCCGCGACCTTCATGTTCCCGGCCGTGCGATCAATCCCATCCACCGCGCGGGCCAGCACCGACTTCTCCGCCTCCAGGGAGGAGTGGAACGTCTGCGCCGAAGTCTTCAGCTGCGTTGCTAGCGCGAGCATAGACGATGTCAGGTCTTCCTGTTCCGCGCGATGAGATGACAGCGTCTCTTCTGTCGCGTGTAATCGAGAGTCTGAGGATTGCTGTGGGGAAGGAGGGTTCTTCTGGAGAGATGATCCGGTTGCGCTGGCTGTTGCCGTGGAGGGGGTGGTTGTGGGTGCGTGTGATCTGTTTCGGAGAGTTGATGGTTGTTCTTGTGTCGGGGCGGGAGTGGCTTCTGCTGTTTGGGAGGGTGGTTCGGTGGTCATTGGTGGTGCGGATGGGGTGTTGGTGGCGGATGCTGTTGTTGTTGGCTCTTTATCATACGGTACGATATCACGGTCCTTCTCTTCATGTTCGAGTTGTTCGTCGGTGGTGCTGCCCTCGTCTGGGGTGCCGAGGAGGTCTTCACCGTCTAGAGAGTCGTCTTCCTCTTCGTCGTCGTCGGATTGAGGTCCCGCTTGGGAACTACTGATCTCGTCGAGGATATTCTGGACTTGTTTGAGGACCTGTCGTTGACGTGCTAGGTTGGACTGCAGGTCGTTGCGACGGTCGGTGGGTTTGATCTGGGGGAGGGTGCGTTCGAGGGTTTGAAGGTTGGTGCGGGCGTAGTCTACGTTCTTTGATGGGAAGTTAGTCAATAGTCATGGTGGTGGCTGTAGCTGTATCCTCTACTATGCAAAGAGATAGGTAGTTTCGAGTGATAAAAAGGCACGAGGACGTACTGCTCCGACTCTCATGCGCTGGTATTCTGACTGGCGTAGTGGCTTCAGATCCGCGGATGAGGAGAGGAGGTTATGTTCTAAACGAGCAACCAGGCGCGAGAGGTTCAAAGCAGCGAGGTCCGGAGAGTCCGGGTATGAGGAGTAGGCTGTGAGAGTCATCTTCTCTGCTTCTGCTATGTATGCTGGGAGAAGTCAAGAGGAGGGGAAGGTTGGGCATGAAGCTCTTCTGGCCATTCCATCATGTGGTGACGGGGAGGCCTGTAACGATCTGCTGACTCAGCCAGATCGAGCTGGTTGTTTGTGCTAGTCCTAATCGGGAAATCGGGGACTATAGAGCGTCTCTCGGGGTTCAGTTGTTCTCTTCTCTCTCGCGCTTGCTGGGGGGAGTTTGTCGCCTCCAAAAAATGCTCGGAAAGGTACCAGATGATTATCATCGTGGAGGTCATTAATCGTCATTGAATGCTAAGCTAGGTAGCCGCGAAAAGACAAATAAAACTAAAGCACAGTCTGCCACCTTTTTGGGCGCTGTCGTTCGGGACAGACGCCCTATGCTACTAGCCCGAAAATCCCCATAAGCGTCCCCGAGAGAGGGGGTAAAAAAAAAAAAGAACAGGTAATCTGAACAGCGAAGCCCACAACTGAAAAGGGAAAGGGAAAAAGAGCAAGCCAAAATCCGGAGGATGAAAAGAACCCCACAATGCATCGTTCTCGAAGAGGAAACATCACACCATCAGTCAGCTAAGGCTAGCTGTACTCAATCATCAACCGTCGCCAGGAGCGCGTACCCTCCTCATCTGCATCGTGCATGAATTGAACTGCGTAGCCGCATTTTTGGGAAGGATGGGATCCGATAAGGTTTGCGATACTGGGGACCCCCTGTTCGTGGCTAGTAGCAGTAGGGTTGGCATACCACTGAACCGGCGCAGGAATTTCGGGCTGGCGCTGAGGATCTGACACCACCATGGAATCGTGAGTTGGCGTTTCAGATGACGAGTCACCAAGGCGATCATCCAACCTCACCGCGGGGGGTGTAGCTGAACGATGGTCGTGGACAAGGGCGGAGGCGGCACACCCGGGCGACAACGGCACCAGATGACCGTCGGTTCCAGATGCTTGCTTTGTCCAAAGGCTCCGCTCACGGGCCAGGACAGCCGCTAGATAACCACTAGAAGGTAAGGGAGACAGCTGGGAAAGTGGCTGCAGGACATCACAGGCTGAAGGGAATGGACCAACGCCCTGGGAGGCTGGGTCATTGAGATAGCCTACGCCGTAGCCGTGGCCCTGAACTAGGCCTAGGCCCACTGCTGCAGTCCTGCCGACGGGCTCTTCGCCACCACTACCCACGATACCACCACGATCGCACTTCTCGGACGGCGTAAAAGGTGGCGGGTCCATCATTTGCCTCTCTGGCGGTACGTAGGCGTAGGATCTAAAGGGTGGTGGACGGCGAAGACGCTGAACTAGTAGGACCAGAATGCAGAATATGCTGGCAATCACGTATAGAATGGCGAAGGAGAGGATCCGAATGTCTTTTTTCGGGATTGACCATTCATTGTCCATACAGCTCATTGCAGGATTCTCTAGATGTGCTGGGTCCTAGGGCCGCACACCACACACTCACACGCACTGCTTGCTTTCTCCTGCTGACGGAATAATGCAGGTTTTGATTGTTTTCTAGGGTGTTTCAGTGAGTATTAGGTATATCTATTTTTGGGAGGGGAGAGAGCTGTGTAATCCGCGCAATTGGGAAACAGTGGTTATGTACCGGATATAGCTGGAATCTCTCTATAGTATAGTACTTACTTTCCGTTCCAGAAACGGGAACAGATGACGATAGCAGTAGAAGAGATAGAGTGAGAGACAGTCACTCCCAGACCAGTTGTGGTAGAAGTAGTCGCCGAGTATCACAGATAGGGTTGGAAGATGGGGTGGGAGGTATGAGAGAGGAAGTAAATGAAGAATGGATAAGGCAAGTGGTTATAATTCAAAAACCAACGACTTCTTTTCTCAAGGATGCGATCTGGGAGGTACTTATAACCAAGACCAGCATGGCGCAAGCATGGCGCATCAACAAATCAAAAAGAAAATAATATTCAAGCACCAGTCCTGGAATGATCCGGTGAGGGAAATTCCCATAGTCTATTCTGATAATATAGTATCCAGGGAGAAAAGGAAAGGTGCGCGCGACTCCACCATGCAGGGACATCTACAGTAGAACAAAAATCCCCGTCTAGTGGGATCGCAGCGTGGTTTTGAAGCTCACATTGCAGGTGTGTGTAATCTAAGCTAACTACGGACAGGGAAGAGAGAAAGAGGAAGAAGGAAAGAGAGGGGGGTTGTGTTGGGATAGTGTGAAAGTGGCCCCTCCAGGTCCAGCTCTGTCATGTTCAGCCACAAGAGCATAATGAAGGGGAAGACGAAACCCACGGGAATGGGGACTCCAACTGTAATGCACCCCCGTCATAGGACCAGGAACGTCTCAACGCAAGGCAGGTTCAGCTGTCCAGATAGAGCGCCACATTCAGGATATCGGCTGGCGGAGGAAAGATGGGGGGAGAAAAAGGGCCCGCTAAACTCATTAGCGAGTGCTCCCGACCCAGTGAAGATCAAGCAAACCAGCAAGTATCCAGTATCGACGGTATAAGGCGACCTGGACCGGGTGAGGCTCGAACACTAGACTGGTAATCTACTTGTCGGAACCAGGAGATGGCGGACTGAAGAGAGGAGAGTCTAGTCTTGTCTTGAGTCTCTAATTTGTTCGCTGAAGCCAGAGTAAGACCGAGCGTGTTGAAGTGGAGTCTTTTTAGTTAGTAGTAGTGCAGCGACCAAGACTGAGTGGAGAAAAGAAAAAGTCGTTGGAGGGGATGGATATAACTAACTACTAGAAGATATTCATGACTACTAGATACTGAACTGAACATATCGACTGTATGTATCGACTGACTAGCTAGTAGTACGGTAGTACGTAGTGTGCGTGTGGAACAATCTATAATTCTCCATAAATGCAAATCAATTCAAAAAATCAAATCAATCTCGACTAGGGATACCTCCGGTCAGGTGCCCACGCGTATTATTACCTGTTCCACCCCAACATGCTGTATACTCCTAAGTAGTATTCTTCCACCACCCCCCCCCCCCCCCCTCCTGTAAGATTACCGCCCTCGTGATCTAGAAATGTAGAACTTCCCTGCTACTACTAGTACAACACAACAACTCAACGCCTCTTTTCCCCTTTCCTTCCTCCTTTTCCTACTCATCCTTCCCTTTTTTTCTAAACTATCACCGGTTTGTTTCATGGCTTCCTGGTGTCGTCGCTCTCAATTACCCTTCACAGCCCGTCCATTTACCTCAGCTGCGCCATTCTCCCGAATTTCCCCCTCCAGAATAATGAAATTGATCGTCTGGATTGCCGCAGATCCAGTTCGACTTCCACGGTTTTTGGGTCCTGACCCGGTGGGGGGTCATGAATATAGTTATCATCAGCTCGCCATTGCAGAGTGGATTCAAGCTTCATGAGGCATTCATGACATCTGACTTTGAACAGGCTGCCACTTTCTTTTCTTTTTTTTTTCCACTATTCTCTTTTCTCATCCCGCGTCTCCCTTGGGATTCCCCGAAGATGGGCGACTCAGGAACGAGATCCGTCTAGCGCCCCAGTGTGGCGGTGTTCTCGGCGATCAGTGTGGCGCTAGATTTGCCCTGTCTTTGCCCTCTAACAGGCTCACAGGCTACTCGACCGGCCTGGCCTACAGTACCAACTAAAACTAAACACGCCGCGCCATTTTTGGCCCCGGAAGCATTCTCCATTCACTATTATTCATTCGCTCGTTCATCTGCATTGCTATGGGTCTACTGGTACTATCACTGTCTATCGTCGGGATCTGATCGCTCTCTCCACCCCCATTTTCCAAGCCCACGACCCAAGCACCGGGTTCTCTTCAAACGCACGTCAGCGATCTATTGAGTTCCATATCCATTCCAAATACTACGCTGCATGCACCCCACCACAGGCGATATCCGAATCTGACAACTCTCATCCTCCCGGTTGGGTCGGCCAATGCGACTGGACGGGCAATTTGGCGTCCCGGGCAAGTGGCGCATGTAATGAAGGGCCCCGCGGAGTCGCCTGCCTACAGTTTAGCGGCAACAGCATCTCTCTGCATCTCCTCCTTAGCGCGATCGCGGAGCGCCTTGCGCAAGATCTTTCCTGAAGGGTTCTTCGGAATCGCATCAACGAATACCACTCCTCCGGTAAGTCTTTTGATCGCAGACACTTTGCCATCCATGAACGCCATAATATCCTTCTCGGTGGCGGTTTGTCCGGATTTTAGTACAACATAGGCCCGGGGACTCTCGTCGTCGTTTCTATTCGTCAACACCACATCAGCCCATTTGCTCGCTAGATTGAACCCCTCTTATTAACCCACCTTGGAACACCAATGACTGCAGCATCGGCCACTCCGGGATGCTCCAGCAGAAGGGCTTCCAGTTCAGCCGGTGCGACCTGGTTGCCTTTGACTTTGATTAACTCCTAGCGAAAGCATGCCAGTTAGCACCATGCAACACGAGACAGAAGCAATGTGTTGGATATTGGCCTGCACCGCAGGTGGCGAGTCTGGGACTTTTTTTTTTCTTCTTGTTCTTTCAGCTCACCTTCTTTCGGTCAACTATGTGGAACTTGTTGCTGTCGTCGACATAAGCGATGTCTCCTGTCTTCAGCCATCCATCCTCCGTCTTGGTCTCCCTCGTGGCTTGCGGATTTCTCCAGTAGCCCTTCATGACATTCTGACCTCGAACCCAAAGTTCACCGCGCTGATTGCGTCCCAGTTCTGTCACGCCATCATCGGCCATGATCTTCGCCTCACAGTTGGCATTGGGCTCTCCCACCGACGCCGATTCGCATATCTCATTGGGATCCCAGCCCATCATAGAGCACGTAGCCCTTTAGGCAAGAAAAACAGAAACTTCGTTAGCCTGCAAATTCTTCGCCACTGAAAATACAAAAGCAATGGGTGGATAGCTTACTCGGTCATGCCCCATCCCTGTTTGAGGTTGATGCGTCCAGGTTCCCACAATGCCTCTACCTCCACACATACCTCCCTCCCTAGAGGTGCCGCGCCGCTGGATACACTTTCCACGCTACTCAGGTCGTATTTGCCGCTCTTGACTGCAGGGTGCTTGGCCAATGCGACCGCCACCGGTGGAACCACGATGAGATCGCTGATGCGGAACTTCTCCGTGTACTCGAGAACTTTGAGAAAGTCAAATTTTGGCATGATATATACGGGTATATCGCGACTTAGGGCAGACGCGATGAAAATGTTCTGCGCCATGGCATGGTACATGGGAAGGAAACAGAGCCAGCGCATGCGGGACTGCTTGTCCTTCCAATCCGGATTGAGGTAGGAGAGGTGGTTGAATTGTCTCAAGTTGGCGACATAGTTTTTGTGTGTGATCTCGACCCCTTTGGGTCTGCCAGTGGTGCCACTGGAGTAGTTCAAGGCAAGAGTCCGATCGGCCAACTCCGGGCTTGACAAGTCATCCCATGCGAATCCGCTGCCTTCGTCCTCAGACGCTATCAGGTCGCCCCAGTAGCGGCAGCCGTTGACGGCATGTCCTTGACCATCATAAATGGCATTACTGAAGACAAACACCCGATCGCGGTTGAGTCCAGCCAGCCTCGCGGCTTCAATGCCTGTGTCCAGACTGCCTTCGGCGCAGATCAGATACGATGCACCGGAATCTTGCAACTGATAGGCCAGTTCCCTGGCGACGTAGGATGGATTTGCGCCGGTGAAGATGCCCCCAGCCATGATAGTGCCGAGAAAAACGACAGGGAAGAACAAGTCATTGCCGGAGTAAAGTAATAAACGGTCACCCGCCTGTAGTCCATGCTTGCGCAAGCCTGCAGCAAATCGTTGACACCATAGACGGAAATCGTGGGGGGTGAAGTAGTGGGTGTTGGGACGAGCAGCCTCAGAGAAGCAGCGGTGCGTCTTGGAGAGGGGGTGAGTCGGCGAAGTCAGCAAAGCCGAGGCCAGATGGGTGTTGGGGATGTCAATCTGCCAGCGCGACTTGAACGGCATCTTAGCCAACAATGCACGGTAATGACTACTACTAGTAATACTGGTGCTGAATAAATGACTGGAATGTGTGAAAATGCGCGAATTGAACAACTTAGACAATCTGTAGTGATCCCATGCAGTTGGGCAACAAGTAAGTAATTGTGAATAACCGTCGCAGTAACCCTTGTGTTCCCGGTTGGAAAGATGATATGTTGTTGTGACTTAAGTGACTCCTTGCACCCAACCTTGCAGTATATAATCGTAATAGTAGGGACTATGCAATCCCTCCAAAAATGCAACAATGCCTCGTATCGACAGTTTGAACCAAGAAAGAAGAGTAAGGAAGGGAGAGAAGAGTGAGAGAAAGAGGCGAATCCAATCTCAAGTACTAATAGGAGTAACAGTATAATATGATATAACATCTTACTACACATTAACCCTGGCACCCACCGAAAGTCAATTTTTCCCTCAAATTCCCCCTCATCATCTTCCTATGCACTCATACTCCTTCATAACTCTCATCTGTAATTCGGACCAGTCAAGTCGAAACCCCCGAAACAAGGAACACAATCCATACATCCACGTCAGCACGTAAGCAACAAGACAAAGAAAAAGACAAAGAAAATGGAATAGAGGGACCCCACTTTCATTAATCCCTGCTTTTCCGGGGTACCCGTTGTCACAACGTCTTAAAATAGTATAATTACTATTGCTTTTACACTGGGAAGGTACTTACGACCACCCACTACTTACTTGCCTTAGTGAAGGCGGGTAGGAAATCATAGGGGTGAAAGGGAAAGCTTTCCCCGCATTTGGGGTTTATTGGAGAAGGGAGGAAGGATGGAAGGAAAGTTAAGAACCGAGCGAGCCAATCGGTTGTGGTTGCTGTTGTTGTGGTGGTGGTGGTTTGGTTGTGCTCCTCGGTTCATCAAATGTGTCTCTGGGCCGAGGGAATAACCAAGAACAAAATGAGGAGAGGGAATAAAAGAAAGAGTAAGGAGGGAAACAGGTAGTTATGCTGGGTGTTTGTGTGTTGGTTTGTCAGTCAGAGCAAGAGCGGGGGTGTGGTGTTCCTATTACAGTAAGTATCTACACTCAATTGGTGGCTGCACTTCTACATACCTCGGATGCTACTTCTACTCTTGGGGAACAAGGGAAGTACATATAACTAGTAAAACATCTTTTGTGTGAGATCGAACTGATCACTATCACATCACATTGCTGTACTGTTAGGAAGAACTATGGGTGCTCGTAAGTACTACTAATTACCATCCTTGTGCTTGAGTACTAGTCTGTTTTGTTTATGTTCCGGAGATTATGGAAATTTTCATACCGACAGAACAAGGCAAGGTGTGACAAGGATACCACGGAAAGGGAGAAGAGATCCGCGGCTATGTGCAGTGCAGTCAGATCTATAAGTTAACTGGCGACATGCATGCTGACTTGGTGGAATCATGGATCCTTATCACTGGTATTTATAAGACACACTGGGACAAGTTATTGTATACCTAAATTGATGCATGCTGGCTAGTTGATGCTGACTGAAAACAAGGAAGAGGATATGGAAGAGATGGGGCATCATCACTATACGAAAAGAGAGGGAGAACCAAGAAGAAAAGATAGAAAATCGATTTAACCATCCCCCGCACACCTTATAAAA